GTGTGTGCCTGTAATCCCAGCTACTCAGGAGGCTGAGGCAGGAGAATTGCCTGAACCCAGGAGGCGGAGGTTGCGGTGAGCCGAGATCGCGCCATTGCACTCCAGCCTGGGTAACAAGAGCGAAAACTCCGTCTCAAAAAAAAAAAAAAAAATACAAACAAGCAAACAATACAGTGTAGCAACTGTTTACGTCACATTTACATTGTATTAGGTATTCTTAGTAACCTAAAGATGACGTAGAGTGTACAGGAAGATGTCTATAGGTTATATGCAAATATGACAGCATTTTATTTTATTTTTTTTATTTATTTTTTTTTTTGAGACGGAGTTTTGCTCTTGTTACCCAGGCTGGAGTGCAATGGTGCGATCTCGGCTCACCGCAACCTCCGCCTCCTGGGTTCAGGCAATTCTCCTGCCTCAGCCTCCTAAGTAGCTGGGATTACAGGCACGCGCCACCATGTCCAGCTAGTTTTTTGTATTTTTAGTAGAGACGGGGTTTCACCATGTTGACCAGGATGGTCTCGATCTCTCGACCTCGTGATCCACCCGCCTCGGCCTCCCAAAGTGCTGGGATTACAGGCTTGAGCCACCGCACCCGGCCGACAGCATTTTATATAAGGAATTTGAGTATCCTTGGATTTCGACATCCTCGTCGGGGAGTCCTGGAACCAATCCCTCAGGGACACCAAGGAATGACTGTATAATGTTATCTGTAAGGTTATGGTTGATGTGGTTTTTTTTTTTTTTAGATGAAGTTTCGCTCTTGTTGCCCAGGCTGGAGCACAATATTACGATCTCGGCTCACTGCAACCTCTACCTGCTGGGTTCAAGGAATTCTCCTGCCTCAGCTACCTGAGGAGCTGAGATTACAGGTGCCTGCCACCACCACACCCGGTGAATTTTTGTATATGTAGTAGAGAGGGAGTTTCACCATGTTGGCCAGGCTGGTCTTGAACTCCTGACCTCAGATGACTGACCTGCCTCTGCCTCCCAAAGTGCTGTGATTACAGGCATGAGCCACCGCGCCCAGCGGATTGATGCTTTGAATCAACTTGAAGAAATCCTCCATTCCTCACTTTAAGAGAGTTTTCTCATGAACATATGTTGAATTTTGTCAGATTTTTTTTATGAATTAGTTGATATGATCATGTGATTTTTCTTCTTGAGCCTGTTGATTGGAGATTTACATTGATTGGTTTCCAAATATTGAACCAACCTTATATCCCTGGAATAAACCGCACTCAATCTTGATGTGCAGTTATTTTTACATATGACTGAATTCTGCTTGCTATTTTGTTAGTGATTTTTGTATCTATATTCATGAGGGATGTTAGCATGTAGTTTTCTTTTTGTTGTTGTTCCTCATCTGCATTTGGTATCAGGATAATACTAACTTCATAAAATGAATGGGGGCCAGGCACGGTGGCTCACGCCTGTAATCCTAGTGCTTTGGAAGGTCGAGGTGGGCAGATCGTTTGAGGCCAGGAGTTCAAGACCAGCCTGGCTAACATGGTGAAACCCCGTCTCTACTAAAAATACAAAAATTAGCTAGGCTTGGTGGTGGGCATCTATAATCCCAGCTACTCAGGAGGCTGAGGCAGGAGAATCGCTTGAACCCAGGAGGCAGAGGCTGCAGTGAGCCGGGATCGCACCACTGCACTCCAGTTCAGAGTGAGACTCCATCTCAAAAAAAAAAAAAAACAATAGTAGTGTTCCCTCCTTTTCTGTTTTCTTGAAGGTATGGTTCAGAATCACGTTGACTTTTTAAACATTTGGTAGAATTCTGTATTCAATGTTTAGAACCATCTTGGCATGGACATTTCATTTTGGGAAGTTTTAAAATCAGAAATTGACTTTTGCTAATAGTTTCAGGTTGTTTAAATTACCTGCTTCCTATTGAATGAGTTGCAGTACTTCATGCCTCTCTAGGAATTGGTCCATTTGATTGAAGACGTCAGTTTTCTGTGAGCAGAGGCATTTGTCGTGTTCCCTTATCCTTTTGATGGCTGCAGGGTCTGTGGTGATGCTGCCTCTTCATTCCTGATATTGACAGTCTGTGTCTTCTCCCTCCTGGTTTCTTTGTCAGCCTTGCCAGAAGTTTGACAATTTGTTATTTTGAAATACTAGCTCTGTTTCGTTGATTTTCTGCATTGTTTTTCTGTTTTCTGTTACTGGGATTTCTATTCCCCGTCTTTGTGATTTCCCACCTTCCTTCCTTCCTTTGCTATCGTTGTGGGTTTACTTTGCTCTTCTGATCCTGGGTTCCCATGGTGGGATCTTGGCTTCCTGAGTTGAGACTTCTTCTCTCTTCTAATGGAAGCACATAGTGCTGTAAATTTCCCTCTCAGCATTGCTTTAGTTGTGTCTCACAGCTAAAGTTTGTGTGGTATTTTCATTGAGTTTTTAATGCCTTTTTAATTTTCCCTTGAGACTTCCTCTTTGACCCTTAAGTTACTTAGAAGTAAGTTGTTAAGTTTCCAAGTGTTTGGAGATTTTTCTACTATATTTCTGTTACTGATTTCTAGTTTCTCTTGTGGTCATAGACCATACTTTGTATGGCTTCAGTTCTTGTAGATTTGGTGAGGTTTCCTTTCTGGCCCAGGATAGGGTCTATTGCGGTGTATGCTCTGTAGGCTCCTGATATGAGTGCAGCATTCTGCTGCTGTTGAGTGATGTGGTCTCTAAATATTTATCATCTGATGGACTTCTAAATGTACCTCAAGACTCTGAGATCATTCACGCTCAAAGGTTATATGATACACACCGTTTCCAAAGAATTCCTCGGTGATATAAACCCCTGCTGAGTTCACCCGCTGGCCTGTAAACCCTGTGCTGATTCTTGTTGATGGGACCCACTTTCCTTTCCTAGTAAGTGAGGGCCTTTCTGAACGTGAGGGCCTCAAGCCCACACCAGTTCAACCTACGGCTGTACGAAACTTTTCTGGCTGACATTTTTATGCTTGTAGTTTCAAGAGCTATAACAAAATGTCATTTTTCTTCTTATTATTGCGTCATACAGTGCTAAAGCCAGAGGAAACCTACGGTCATCTGGTCTACCCTCTCACCTGACAGGTGAAGCGACGAGGTGTTGCGATTCATTTAAACTGATTAGTTTTTTAAACATTTTTTAAATGATATTAATGTATCTTAATTATAGAAAATGTAGCCGGGCGCGGTGGCTCAAGCCTGTAATCCCAGCACTTTGGGAGGCCGAGGTGGGTGGATCACGAGGTCAAGAGATTGAGACCATCCTGGTCAACATGGTGAAAACCCCATCTCTACTAAAAAAAAAAATACAAAACAATAGCTGGGCATGGTGGCACGTGCCTGTAATCCCAGCTACGCAGGAGGCTGAGGCAGGAGAATTGCCTGAACCCAGGAGGCGGAGGTTGCGGTGAGCCGAGATCGCGCCATTGCACTCCAGCCTGGGTAACAAGAGCGAAACTCAGTCTCAAAAAAAAAAGAAAAGAAAAGAAAATGTAAAAGAAAAGGGGGGAAATGCATTAGGTATAGGGAAGCAAGAATCTTAAAATAGAAGGTAATAAAACAACAGCTGGAGACGACTGCTACATTACTTTGGCGTACACTCTCCCAGTATGTTTTCAGAATCAGGTTCACTCTGATTTACTGTTTTAACATCTTTTTTTCTTGTACTTTAACAACAGACATGAACATTTTTCAAAATATTATTTCTAATAGCAGAATATCATTCCAGATATATGTCTGATGATACAGTTACCTCATCATTTATTTAACGAACCTCCGTCGTGGGGGCAGGTTGTCCCATCTCCTCTGTGTTCAATAACGCTGTGATGAACAGCTTTGGTGGACATGTATGATCATTTCCTGGAAATGGGACCTGGGTCAGTGCTTGTGAACATTTTTTTTTTTTTTGAGATGGAGTCTTGCTTTTGTTGCAACCTCTGCCTCCCGGGTTCAAGCGATTCTCCTGCCTCAGCCTCCCCAGGAGCTGGGATTACAGGCACCCGCCACCACACGCAGCTAATGTTTATATTTTTAGTAGAGTCGGGGTTTCGCCATGTTGGCCAGGCTGGTCTCGAACTCCTGACCTCAGGTGGTCCACCCGCCTCAGCCTCCCAAAGTGCTGGAATTACAGGCGTGAGCCGCCGCACCAGCCACTTGTGAACATTTTTAGCTTTTGAGCCCCATTGCCAAGCTGGATTCTTGTTTGGCAGCTTTGGTTTTATTTGTTTTGGTTATAATGGAGGATTAGACATCAAGTCAGCGTAGAAGATGACGCAAACTTGGCCAGGTACAGTGGCTCACACCTGTAATCCCTGCACTTTGGGAGGCCGAGGCGGGCAGCTCACAAGGTCAGGAGATGGAGATCATCCTGGCCAACATGGTGAAACCCCAAATCTCCTAAAAATACAAAAATCAGCTGGGTGTGGTGGCGAGCACCTGTGGCCCCAGCTCCTCGGGAGGCCGAGGCAGGGGAATCGCTTGAGCCTGGGAGGCGGAGGTCGCGGTGAGCCGAGATCACACCACTGCACTCCAGCCTGGTGACAGAGCGAAACTCTATCTCAAAAAAAAAAAGATTACTCAGACTTACAACTAAGCCCCGTGGTATAGGTTCTCAGTGTTCTGGGGCATGAGAACCTAGTAGAGACCTCGCCCTTCCTCAGCATGTCGCCATGCTGAAAGGGACAGCGCTGTGGGCGTCTACAGCTTCCTAGGCGGTATCTGGCATTAGGCCTGGTCAGGAAACAGGAAAGCCGGCAGGTCCCATTTCACCTGGGGCCTGGACCTCGTGAAACCAGCCACCCAGCCCAGTTTTACGGGCCAGGCAACAAAGGAAGAAGAAACTCCTTCGACCCAGGGCTGCTTCCTCTCTGCAGACCCGCCGTGAGAACACCATGTCCTGTGTTGAGACGTGCCTTGAACTCACATTGTCACAGTAATTGCCCCCATAAAATAGACCTGGGCACTAAGAGGAAGCTTCCTGTGTCTGGAAACCCAGTCCTGCCTGCTTTTTATAGCTGATGCGAGGACAGGAGAACCACAAGCCCCGCGGCTGCCGAGAGGCCACTGAGGCACAGATGGGCTGTGGGCCTGGAGCCGCGCCGGAGGGAAGGAGCATTTGAAAGAGCCCAGGTCCAGAGAAGCCCGGGGCTGCTGCCAGGAAGGCCTCCAGGTAACAGGCAGCTCCTCGCCTCGGCCTCTGCGCCCCAACACGTGGGATTCGGGCCGCCATGGCCTGCACATCTTTTACTCTTGTCCGTGTTCCACCTGTCTTTTTTCTTTGGCTTCTAGAGAGAGAAGAATTGATCCAGAGCGTGCTGGCGCAGGTAGCAGAGCAGTTCTCAAGGTACAGAGTCTTCTGAACTTACAACCAGCCAGAGATGGGCGCTGCTTTCTCTGAGAGCGAGGGTGGGCCCCAGGCACTGAGGCTGGCCTTGGCCGCCAGGCACGGCTGGCTCTCCTGCCTGGAGGAGGCTCCCGCATGGCTTCTGTAACTAAACCAGCTTGGATGGGGCCCAGGAAATGCTCACCTTAGACCAAAGATGGTGTGGAGTGGGTGCATTAGAATGTGAGCTCATGCGGTCGAGAACGTCCCTCACCGGCTCTTCCGGGGTTGGAGAACCATCTGTAAGACTTGGCTCTGTTGTCAAATAAGCTTTCTCGCTGAGCTTCTGTATAGTTAGGGGACTTTCTTTTCATCTGAGTCATTGCACCAATCCTGATGTAGATACCACATTTTCAAGACTGACTTTTCTGTGGCGTCTTACTGCCTAGTTAATTAAAACGGTGAAAAGGGCAGATGGGTACAATTTTTTAAAACCTTCAAATTGGCTGGGCATGGTGGCTCACACCTGTAATCCCAGCACTTTGGGAAGCTGAGACGTGCAGATCACATGAGGCCGGGAGTTTGAGACTAGCCGTGACCAACATGGAGAAACCCCCTCTGTACTAAAAATACAATATTAGCAGGGCACGGTGGCACATGCCTGTAATCCCAGCTACTCGGGAGGCTGAGGCAGGAGAATCACTTGAACCTGGGAGGCAGAGGTTGCAGAGAGCCAAGATCGCACCATTGCACTCCAGCCTGGGCAACAAGACTGAAACTCCATCTCAAGAAAAAAAAAAAAATTTTTTTTTGAATTGTTTAACTGACTGGGCTGGAACCTCCAGAGAACACAACACGTGCTCCGAAGGTGTCCGTGCCGTCCGGGGAGGGTGCCGGGACTGGACCGTCTCAACCGCATGAGCAGAGGACCCCGCGTCCTCCCCAGGAAGCCTGGGTCCCCTGCTCAGGTCTGCGGAAGTAAAGGTGCCCACCAGCTTGGCGAATACACCTCCTGATCCCCCCCCATGGGTTACATTTCCTCTCTCCTTTCTTTTTCATTCCCAGGGCATTCAAAATCAATGAACTGAAAGCTGAAGTCGCAAATCACTTGGCTGTGCTGGAGAAACGCGTGGAATGTGAGTGAGGCTTTTGTTTCCTTTCTGCTTCTCTGTCCTTTAACCTCGATTCAAATTAAACCCTTGAGCAGGGAGGAGTTCAGTGCTGAAGGTAAATGGGAATGTCTTTTCTCTGTGAAATGCTTGAAAATTACCTTTAACGTTAACAAAGGCTAGCACAGTGACTAAGCATTTTATTTCTATTTTAACAGAAACGCAGCTCATGGTATAAAGCATTCTTTCAGCCCCAAAGAGTAAAAATGAACGCACGAAACCCCTCAACCCCACGCTTAGCCCTTCTGAGAACCTCTGCTGAGTGTCTTGTCTGTCTCTCTTTTTTTTTTTTTTTTTTTTGAGACAAGAGTTTCACTCTTGTTGCCCAGGCTGGATTGCAACAGTGGGATCTCAGCTCACCGCAGCCTCCTCCTCCCAGGTTCAAGCAATTCTCCTGCCTCAGCCTCCCGAGTAGCTGGGATTACAGGTGTGCGCCACCACACCCGCCTAAATTTGTATTTTTTAAGTAGAGGCAGGGTTTCTCCGTGTTGGTCAGGCTGGTCTCAAACTCCTGACCTCAGGTGATCTACCCACCTCTGCCTCCCAAAGTGCTGGGATTACAGGCGTGAGCCACCGTGCCTGGCCTTGTCTGTGTCTCTTTTTGCGTGAATGAAAACATTCCCCACACACCGAAGCTGCACCCTGTGGGTCACAAGTTTGGAGTTGTCTGCTAAGTTGCCATCTCTGGTTTCTGATACAGTCTGGATGTGCGTCTCCTCCAAATCTCAAGTTGAAATGTCATTCGCAGTGTTGGGGGTGGAGCCGGGTGGGAGGGTTTGGGTCAGCAGGGCAGATCCTTCTGAACGGCCTTGTGCTGTCCCCAAGGCAGTGACTTCTCACAAGATCTGCTTGTTTAAAAGCGCGTAGCACCTCTCTACCCTCCTGCTTCCCTGTCACCTTCCACTGTGGACGTTCTCAAGGCCCCCCAAGAAGCGGAGCAGATGCCGGCACCAGGCTTCCTGTAAAGCCCACAGAACCGGGAGCCCATCGAACTTCTTTTCTTTATAAATTGCCCGGCCTCAGGTCTCTCTTTATAGCAGCAGAAGAGCAGCCTAACACAGCCTCCCATCAGCACAAAAGAAAACCGGAAGGACCAGTGAGCCACGGAGTGTTGATTCGAGTCCTGTTCAATGACTGAAAGCCCAAATTCAGGGAAGAAAACTTCAAGTCACCCATCCCTTTGTCGTCATCCATAATATCAAGATCAATGCTTGAATTCTACAGGCCTCACAATTCTGTGTTTAACTCACAGCTGGACAAGTGAACTCTTTGTTAACAACAAGGCAAATGTTAATGATTAACAGGCACCATATTTACCAACTTAGGAACTAAATAAACCATCCAGACAGGAGGCCATTAAGGGTTGCAGAGTCACCAAAAAATATCTGCCTGATTGACTGAATGTTGCTTTTTCTGTTTCCCTCCCTCCCACCTTCCCTCCCTCCCTCCCTCCTTCCCTCCCTCCCTCCCACCTTCCCTCCCTCCCTCCCACCTTCCCTCCCTCCCTCCCTTCCTTGCTTCCTGAGGGAGGAGTCTTGCTTTGTTGCCCAGGCTGCAGTGCAATAGTGCGATCTTGGCTCACTACAACCTCCGCCTCCTGGATTCAAGTGATTCTCCTGCCTCAGCCCTCATGTAGCTGGGATTACAGGCACCTGCCACCGCGTCCAGCTAATTTTGTATTTTTTGGTACCGATGGGGTTTCACTATATGTTGGTTAGCCTGGTCCGAACTCCTGACCACAGGTGATCCACCCACCTCAGTCTCCTAAAATGCTGGATTACAGGCATGAGCCACCACACCCAACTAAATGTCGCTTTTCCTAGTTTGCTTGTGTTGCTTGTAAATTTTCAAGAAAAGCAATCAGGATCATGCAAAAACGGACTCATCTAAGTTAGCAGAAACATGATTTGCCTAGTCAGATTTACACTTTTCAAAGTGTGTTGACGTTTTTTTAAAAAGCACGTGGTCACTGCATCTTCACCACGGTTTAATTTTCCCCGTTGTTGACGAGGAAGCCACAGAGAGGTTAAATAACCTCAAGTCCACTCAGCAAATCAGAAAACAAATACACCTGGGACTGGCACCCAGGGTCCTGGCTGGGCTGCTCTAGCTGCCTGCTGCCTGCCCTTCTGGGATCGGTCACCTCCCTGCAGGCCTGGCCAAAGACGACCAGGCACTCCGTGAGGGTTCCTTCACAACACAGGTTAGAAGGCGGCAGCTGCAAGCAACAGAAACTGATCGCGGCTGCTTTCAGCAGGAAGGGAGTTTTTTTCCTAAAGGATTTTGGGAAGCTCCCGGATCCCCAGGAGGGCTTGGAGCTGTGCAGCCACAATTCCCCAAATCCCGTGCAGAGCCGACGCTGTGCAGATGCCCGTGCTGCCGTCTCTGAATCCCAGATGCACACCAGCTCCCCGGCACTCCTCGCTCTGGACCTAGGCCCCCTCCTCGAGGCTCCACGGCCACTTATGCAGGCATCAGGCTGCTCCTCCACGTCACTGGCTACAGGTTAAAAATCTAGACAGAGCCAGACCGTGCACCAGGTGTCTAGCTACAAGGCAGGCCCGACCAAGGCAGCCCGTGAGTGTGCCGAGGCCGCCGCGCAAAGCCCCGCAGACCGGGAAGCTTAAGCAACAAAATCAGGTTCTCTCGCAGCTCTGCAGGCTGGAAGTCTGAAGTCAAGGCGTGAGCAGGCCTGGCTCCTTCTGGAGGCTGTGAGGGGCGCTGGCTCCAAGCCTCTCTCTTAGACCCACGTGGCTGCCAGCAATCTTTGCCACTCCTGAGCTCGGAACACTGCATCGCTTGGATCTCCGCCTGTGTCGTCACGCGATGGCATTCTCCCATGTCTCCGTGTCACCAAGCTCTCTCTGCCAGGTCTTATAAAGATGCCTCTCTTTGAATTTCGAGACCACCTAAATCTAGGGTGGGCCCATCTCAAGATCCCTGAAGGATTATATCTGTGTGGACCTTTTTCTAAGTCAGGACCCATTCATTCACAAGTCCAGGGAGTAGGCTGTGACCAGATCTTTCTGGGGGGACACAATTCAACCCACTGCAGCGAGCGTTTGCACTTCCATAGTCTGCACTGGGAGGCTGGCTCAGGTCTCCACCAAGCCCATGTCACTGGGAATTCTCCAAACTTGGGTAGAGTTTGTGCCAAAGCGGGCAAAAAAGGTTTAGTGCGGAGTTGTCACCCACCCTTACAGATGCAGAACGCTACGCAGTCACCACAGGCCAGCATGCAGATGCCCGAGGGCAGCAGGTGCCTCCCCCGTCTCCTCTCTCCAGCGCCTGGGCTTTTCCTCAGCGTTCCCCCCCATCTCCTGTGCCCCACCCAGAAGCTAGTGCCAGCTCCCGCCGTGTGCTCTTCCCAGAAAGTGCAAACAGGCAAGTGGAAGAGCCCGTGCCATAACTCTCAAAACTCTTAAAGAGAATGATGCCGCCGCCAACATGATGAATAGTAACCCTGCGCGGCTTTGAGTAACTGACCCTGGAGACTAACCACCAACCCAAAAGAAAATTGTTCCTGTTTTGCCTCCAAGTGGCAGGTGACTGAAGGCCACAGCCCAGAGGAGCTTCCCCTGTAGCCTGTTGTAGCTGCAAAATTCTCCAACATTGCTCACTTCTCAGAGGGAAGGCATCTTCCCAGAGGGCCCTCAGTAAATGCACATAGATGGCCTAGAAGAGACCCCACTCTTCACCCACCGCGCCCAGGCTCGCCGCACAGACCAGAATTCCTAACCGGGCGTTACTAGTCATACTGATTTCTAGCACCAGAGGCCCAGGACTGCAGACATGGGATTGAAGCTCACGTCGAAGGAGTAGGGAAGGCGGGGCAGTCCAGGGGTTGTGCAGGACAGGGAAGGCCTGGGCAAGGTTGGGGGAGCCTCTCTGCAGTCCCCTGGCTGGCCTCCTCCACCTGGCTTTGGGTTCATCCTCCCGGGCACTTCTGGCTGACAGCCCCGACTCTCCAGCGAGTCTGTGTTAGTGGGAGGTGGCCAGGATACTGCACGTGTGCTGAACGCAGGGAGTTTGAGTTCCAGAGAGATTTCAAGGACAGCAGAGCCTTCACCCAGAGATGCGCGTACCCTGACATTTGAGGAAGCTTGGAGAGCGGAAAGGGAAAGCCCTTTTGAGGAGAGGGCCTGCACCTGAGCCTCTCACACAGGCCACTGGGGAAGTACACGGCCAGCTTCTTAGAAGGTCAGTCCCAATTCTGCACGGCTGCCAGGAGCTAGCCAGATGGGGAAGGCAGCCAGGAGCAGGGCCGGCGCCGGAGACAGATGCTCCCATCTACACATGTACGTGCACATGCAATGACACACAGAGAAAGGTGCACATGTACTCACATATACACACGTGAAATCACACAGACATGTCGGGATGTCACATACATGCACACGTGTGCAAGCACCCAGGCACAGGCAGATACATTCATACATATGATCACATACACACACATGCACACAGCTTCTTCTGCTATACATGAGCTGCTGTGAGCTGTTTTTTTGTTTGTTTGTTTTTTGAGAAGGAGTTTCGCTCTTTCGCCCAGGCTGGAGTGAAGGGGCGCTGTTTTGGCTCACTGCACCCTCCACCCCTGGGTTCAAGCAATTCTCCTGCCCCGGGCTCCTGAGTAGCTGAGATTATAGGCATCCGCCACCATGTCCAGCTAATTTTTATATTTTTAGTAGAGATGGGGTTTCGCCATGTTGGCCAGGCTGGCCTTGAACTCCTGACCTCAGGAGATCTACCCACCTCGGCCTCCCAAAGTGTTAGGATTACAGGCAGGAGCCACCATGCCTGGCCAAACTGTTTTCTGCTTCTTGAGTTAGAGAACTCATCCACTAGAATTGGCCACCTTAAAGCCATATAATGTTGTGGTGGACTTGTCTTAAATGGAATTTCCTGCTTCTTAAGTGTATAATTCCTCTGAATCGAATATAAGTATCTTCATTTCTCTTCATTGACTTTCAAAGCCCTTCTTTCCTTTTGATAAAAAAAGCTTAGCCTTGTTCCAGCGATCTGGGATTTCCCTTAGGTTAAAGACGATTTCATAAACAGAACAGCCAAGCCCCTCCCGTCGCATCCTGGCTGGAGGTGAAACATTAAAAAGAGATTTTGAAGCCAGGCCCTTTACTCCCTTCCTTCCTGGTTTGTGGCCGGGGCACAGGGCAGCTCTGCTGCATCCACCCTTTGTCCCAGAGCTCTGGGCTTGGAGCAAAACCTAAGCTGGGCCAGGGCAGGAGCTGACCACCTGGGGCAAAGTTTAACACGAAGGGAAGGAGATGGGGGGCATACACAGCCCAGAAGCCGGGATGCTAGAACCGAGCCTTGCTGTTCTCTGTCACTCAGGAAGTGTGCGCTCCACGGGTTCTTTAAGGAGGCTCGTGGAGGAAGTGTTGAAACATAGCTCTATTCATACAGGTCTTTAAACAACTTTCACTAGCTCTGCAGCCAAAGGGCCTGCCAGATTCTCGGCCGCCGGCCCAGCGCTTTGAGGCTGGGGGAGGAGCACAGCTCAGGCCCTCATGAGCACGGCCCAGCCCTCCCAGCCCGCCAGCCTGCTTCCCCCAGAGCCAGCATCTCTCAGAAAATCCCTCTTGGAGCTTTTCCTGCAGATGGCCTGGGACTTGTGGAAGCTCACAAAAATCTCTTTTAAAGTCCTTTTTTTTTTTTTTTTACTGAGACGGAGCTCGCTCTGTCAGCCAGGCTGGAGGGCAGCGATGCGATCTCGGCTCACTGCAATCCCCGCCTCCCAGGTTCAAGTGATTCTCCTGCCTCAGCACCCCCACCCCCCGCCCCCCTGCAGCTGAGATTACAGGCAGCCTGCAAACACGCCCAGCTAATTTTTGTATTTTTAGTAGAGACAGGGTTTTGTCATGTTGGTTGGACAAGCTGGTCTCAAACTCCTGACCTCAGATGATCCACCCTTCTTGGCCTCCCAGCATGCTGGGATTACAGGCGTGGGCCACCATGCCTGGCTTCAAGTCCTTTTAAGAGGACAGGCCAGGGTTTCCAGATGATCCTGGCCCCCACACCAGCATATCCTAGGGTCCGCACCTGGTCAGCGGGAATAACGGGCAGTTGTGGGCTGGACCACCAGCCCCCAGCAGGGCCGAGTGGGCCAGGGAGCCTCTGCTTCAGTTTGGGGTATGTGGTCAGTGCCTGCCTATGTTCAGCCTTTGAAGGCAGAAGAGGGGGCATGATGGGCAGAGCTGACGTCCAGGCTCCCTGGTCCTGCTGCTGTCTGTGCAGACCTCTCAACTCGAGGCCCCACACCCCTCAGGACCCACCTGCTCCTCCCTCTGGGTTGAGGTGGAGCAAGGGTGGGAATGGGTCGATGAGGGGAGCTGTGGAATCTTCCCCACAGCAGCCTGGCGTCCTAGAAAGGCCAGGGAGGGAGGAGGCAGGACCCCCAGGGACACAGGCACCCACACCCACCGCAAGGTCACCTTCGCCTCCTCCCACAGGCCCGTCGTTCACGGCGTCTTGTTTTTCTTTCATTGAGGAATGCACGGCTTTTGCCATCTTCTTACTCACTATCCATTTCCTTGCCAGCAGCCTTTTCAGAAACGTCATTGTCACAAATTCTGCACCTCTGGGATTCATACTAGGGGTGCTGGGCTGTCACCCAAGAGGTGTGATTTTAATATCACCGCAGTAAATAGCCAGGGAGGCAGATCTCGGTGGACTGCACCATCAATCAAACATCATGCTCCCGTCACAAACCATGAGCTAGCTTAAAACAGAGCCTTGTGTGGACATGGGAAAAGTACAGATCTGTGGCAAACTCATTTAGCAGCAAAAATGTGATCTGAACTGACATGAAGCCCTTACCTATCCTGTTCAGTATGATACGTAAGCATTTTCTTCAGGGGAGAAAAAGAAAAATGTGAGCTGGGGTGCCAGCCGTTGATATAGGGAAGGCCCCTAACCTCCTGAGGAGTGAAATGGGCAAGTTGAAAAACACAACGAATTCTATCTTTTAAAATTAATAATAGATATATAGACACATAGACACACAGGACGGATAGATGATAGATAGATAGATACATACATACATACACGAATAGATACATAGATGCGATGGATAGATAGAAAGATAGGTAGAGGCTGGATGAGGGCTCATACCTGTAATCCCAACCCTTTGGGAGACTAAGGCAGGAGGATCTCTTTAGTCCAGGAGTTCAAGACCATCCTGGGCAATATGGTGAAACCTCATCTCTACAAAAAATACAAAAATCAGCTGGGTGTGGTGGTGTACCCTTTAGTTCCTGTTATTCAGGAGGCTGAAGTGGGAGGATCACTTGAGCCTGGGAGGTGAAGGTTACAGTGACCTGTGATTTTTCCACTGCACTCCAGCCTGGGTGACAGAGCAAGGCCGTGTCTCAAAAAAAAAAAAAAAGAAAGAAATGAAGGCGGGTGCAGCTCTCCAACCCGCTCGAACGCTCCCCACAGCTACCGCCACCCATTGGAATGGCCAACAGGGGACCTGCATATGGCCTAAGCCGGGAGGTGCAGCAGAAGATTGAAAAGCAATACGACGCAGACCTGGAGCAGATCCTGATCCAGTGGATCACCACCCAGTGCCCAGAGGATGTGGGCCGGCCCCAGCCTGGGCGGGAGAACTTCCAGAACTGGCTCAAGGATGGCACGGTGCTATGTGAGCTCATTAATGCACTGTGCCCCGAGGGGCAGGGCCCCGTAAAGAAGACCCAGGCTTCCACCGTGGCCTTCAAGCAGGTGGAGCAGATCTCTCCGCTCCTGCAGGCAGCTGAGCGCTATGGCATTCACACCACTGACATCTTCCCAACCGTGGACCTCCGGGAAGGAGAGAACATGGCTTGTGTGCAGCAGGACGCTGATGAATCTGGGCGAGCTGGCAGTAGCCCGGGATGATGGGCTCTTCTCTGGGGAGCCCAACTGGTTCCCTAAGAAATCCAAGGAGAATCCTCGGAACTTCTCGGACAACCAGCTGCAAGAGGGCAGGAACATGATTGGATTGCAGATGGGCACCAAGCGCGTGACCGGCTATGGGATGCCACGCCGAATCCTCTGATCCCGCCCCAAACCTTGTTCCTGGCAGGCCGTCCCACAAATGGTTAATCTCTATGTAGATGTATATTTTAGCAGTGATGTTCCCAGAGAGCCCCAGAGCTCTCAAGCTCCCTTCCATTGGGGGGGGGTTCAGCCTGTCCTGTCACCTCTGGGACGCCTGTTGGCAGCCCCTCCCCCCAGCTTACTGGTACATTCCCTACCCCATACCCATCAAAACTGGACCAACTGGGCTCTTCTTTTCCCCTGGGACCAAAATGTAGGGGCCTCAGCACCCCAGCACCGTGCCTCTCCTCTCTCCTGGCCTGCTCTGTCCCTGAGCTCTGTACCCTCCATCCATCCATAGCAGGGCATCAGTGATGCTGCCTCTGCTTTCTGAGGCCAGACTCGCCTTGCTTCTACAAGCATACTTCTCCCACAGCTGTGGCTGGCTGCAGGAACTTAGTTTATAGGGAGGAGCCTGTGGCAGCTGCTGCCCCAGCCACAGCTGCACTGACTGTGCTCACCACACATCTGCAGCAGCCTTCCCTGGCAGAGGCCCTCACAGCTTCTCATCTTCCATGCCCCTCACTGTGGCTAAGGGATGGAGTGAGGGAATGGAGAGGGAGGGCTGTCTACCATGGTCTGGGGCTTGAGGAGGATGAGTTTGTTGATTTAAATAAAGAATTTGTCTTTTTTGAATGAAAAAAAAAGAAATGAAGATAGGGAGATATATAGAACGGATGGGTAGAGAGAATGGATAGAAAAATAAATAGAATGGATAAATAGAACATAGGTAGATACATAAGTAGGATGAATGGGTAGATGGGTGGATGGATAGATAGAAAGATAGATAGATACATACATGGATGGACAGATAGATGCACAGGTGGATGAATGGATGGATAGAAGATAAATGACTGGCTAGTTAGTAGCCAGTGGCTACTACAGATGGATGGATAGTGAGTGAGTGAGTGGTAAACAGGTAGTAGAAAGGTAGACAGAGAGATAGACAGGTAGCAGGATGAATATTTAGAAGGCACGGGAGAGGGCAGAAGGCCTAGAAGGACACACATTAGCACCTTTCCTACAAGGATCATAGGATATTTTATGTTCAGGGAAATGACATTTAAGACACAGTAAGTGGACCAGGACCTTGCACAGAGGGCGCAGCTGCCCCGTAGCAGTCCACACCACCCGCCCGACTCTTCCCCAGATCACCTTCAGCATGTGCCGCCTTCCACATGTGACCCGCACGGAGCTCCTTTCCTGCCACTGATGTTGAACCGGCTATTTGCTCACGTCAGTGTCTGAATGGCAAACCCACAGGACACAGATGGGGTCCTGCCCTCTAGAAAGGCCCAGGAGTACCCCTGGAGGCCACATTGGGCCTCCCAGTCCACGTGCAAACCCGAAATGTGCTCTTGGGTGCCTTTTCTCAGAAGCCGACCTGTGGCATCCATCAACTTCCGTGAGGTGATGCCTGAGAAAACGGAGACGCCGCTCCAAAGGAGAACGTGGACTCTTAGCGGCTGGGCAAAAACGTCCCGACCTCAGGTACCCTGTGCTTCCCCAGCGGCAGCTCATCTGGACGCCGCCATCAGGACAGCGATCACACTGGCTCCAGCCACATGCACTTCGTGACCCACGTCCTCTTTCTGTTGGGTAGAAGAGGGGCAGAGAAAGCTTCCATGGCACAGAAGCACATCAGCATGACCAGATCCAAACATCCCACCCTCCAGATTCCTTGTCCCTCTGGGCAGAAAGAAGCGGTGACCCAAGAAGCCATGCCCCTACTTGACCCCTGACCATGGAAATACCCCCAAACCCACCCAGGAGGCTGATTCCAACCAGGCTGCCCTGGGGCACTGCCCTAAGGAGGATTTCTTTGGGGTGGGAAGGAATTGTTACAAACTAGCCAGAGGCTCTGAGTTGATTGGCTTTTCCTTTAGAAATCATTGGCTTTTTATCTTTAGCAGTTATTCAGAGCCAAACTTCATGAAAAGGGGAATAGAGTGACATCGTGGGAGTATCCTTTTGCATAAAAATTGAGGTGTGATTACAAAGTAACAAAGCTAATCTTTTTTATTTCTTAGTACTCTAACTGAAAAGCCTCACAAAGCTGCTTGCTTCACAGCAGCGTTTCTGGGCTAAGCATGCAGTCAGCCAAGGGTGAATGTCTTGAAGTTTAACACTCTCTTGGAGGCAGAAGCTCCAGTTTGGTTGAAAAATAGTATCCTAACTGTTGAGGCACACCTTTGCAGTGGAACTGTAACCACCCAAGGGGTTCGCCTTGCCTGCTGCCTAGACAGAGCAGATTCATCAGACAGGGGAATTGCAATAAAGAAAGAGTCAGTCACCCAGAGGGGGCTGCATGGGACACCAGAGTTTTATTATCCCTCAAATCAGTCTCCACAAGCATTCAGGGAGCAGAGTTTTTAAGGATAACTTGGTGGGAGGGGGGAAGCCAGTGAGCCAGGAGTGCTGATTGGTCAGGGATTAAATCGTAGGGAGTTGAAGCTGTCTTCTTGAACTGAGTCAGTTCCTGAGTAGGGGCCACAAGATCAAAACAGTCCGTTTATGGATGTGGGTGGGGCCAGCTGATAAGTGCAGGTTCTGCAAAATGTCTCAAGCACTGATCTTAGAAGCAGTTTAGGGAGGGGCAGCATCTTGTAGCCTCCAGCTGCATGACTCCCAAACCATCATTTCTAATCCTGTGGCTAATGTTAGTCTTGGCCCCAGGCAAGAAGGAGGTCTGCTTTGGGAAAGGGCTGTTACCATCTTTGTTTAAACCGTAAACTACAAACTAAGTTTCTCCCAAAGTTAATTCAGCCGAGGAACGAACAAAGACAGCTGGAGGTTAGAAGCAAGATGGAGTCGGTTAAGTCAGATCTGTTTCACTGTCTCAGTCATAGTTTTGCAAAGGCGGTTTCAACGCCAGGAATGTGATCACGCCCAAGTTCTGCTGATCCTCGGCCTTGTCTGCCTACTTCTCTTCTGTTTCAAGTCAGCAGCTTCTCCTGGTGAACTGCTCTGGAATAACTTCACAATGAAAAGCTTTTCCCCCACTGAGAAATGAAAAGCTTTTCCCCTACTGAGACCGTAATGCTCACTGAGAACGCTCTGCCGTTCGCTGCATTTTAATGCTCTGGAGCCACATTTCCCCCCTTTTCTTTTTGGGATAAAAGACTCTTTGTCCCATGTCTTCAGCTGGTGCTTAGGGGTATGGAGCAAAAAGCAGGTGCCAGAGTTGAGATTCAGGGCGTGGAGAGTGGGGAGGGGCTTCCACCCTCAGAACGGCACAGAGAGATGTGGTGGTGCAGCCCTGGCCACGGCATGTGTCTGCGTGGTTAGAGTCAGATGTGGCTGAGCTGAGTGGGGAGGTCCAGGCAGAACCTGAGTGTCAGCAGCCGGGGCAGGAGCGGGGAACCTCTGCACCGAGCCATTTTCCTCCCCAGGAGCCACAGGGAGCCCTTAGATACCAGCCTTGAGAGATCGTCCACGTTCGTCCGTGGTAACGCCCTTGCTGTCTCTCTCTGTCACCAGTGGAAGGACTAAAAGTGGTGGAGATTGAGAAATGCAAGAGTGACATTAAGAAGATGAGGGAGGAGCTGGCGGCCAGAAGCAGCAGGTAGGGTCTGCGCTGGGGCGACGGGCAGCCGGGCCTGGGGAGGGCTTTTCTTTCCAGATGGGCTGGGACTGTGGGCTTTGTTTCTCCAAAAGAAAGTCTGGTGGCTCGGGCTCAGGAGAGTGCAGTCTAGAGACAGCCGCCTCCTTACCACATGCCCGTCAGTGGCATGGCTTTCTTCTAACGAAAGAGCACATATGGGCCGAGCGGTGGCTTATGCCTGTAATCCCAGCACTTTGGGAGGCCAAGGCGGGAGGATCACTTGAGGTTAGGAGTTCAAGACCAGTTTGGCCATCATGGTGAAACCCGATCTTTACTAAAAATACAAAAATTAGCCAGGGTGGTGGCACATGCCTATAACCCCTGCTATTCTGGAGGCTAAGGCAGGAAAATCACTTTAACTGGGGAAGCAGAGGTTGCAGTGAGCTGAGATCTCATCACACCACCGTACTCCAGCCTGCGCTCAACGGAGCAAGACTCTGTCTCAAGCAATAAAAAAAAAAAAAAAAAAAAAGAGCATATGGCACAGTGGCTCATGCCTATAATCCCAGCACTTTTGAGAAGCTGAGGTAGGCCGATCACGAGGTCAGGAGTTCAAGACCAGCCTGACCAACATGGTGAAACCCCATCTCTACTAAAAATACAAAAGTTAGCCAGGTGTGGTGGTGCATGCCTATAACCCCAGCTACTGGGGAGGCTGAGGGCAGGAGAATTGCTTGAACCTGGAGGCAGAGGTTGCAGTGAGCCAAGACTGTGCCACTGCACTCCAGCCTGGGCTCGACAGAGCAAGACTCTGTCTCAAAAAAAAGAGCACATACGGCAGATGGGGGCTAGGAAGACGACTTTGCAGAAAGGGGAGTCCTCCTCCTGCAGATCCAAGCCTTAGGAGCAATGCATCCAGCTTGGAATAAGTTGATAGCCATTTTTAAAGACAGAACAGAAAGAGAGAAAAGGCATTTGGGTGATGAGCCTCCTGGTGCCCCTGGGGACCCCATTCCCTGTGTGATATTCCCACGGGGTTGCAGTCCAGCGAGGGCTCCAGCCACTAGGAACACCGAAGTCATTCGCCCGGGAGCAGCCATCCTTCACAGGTGCTACGGGGGCCCAGGGAGCTGTGACTTGAGGGGAGAATGCCACAGCCTCCACCATGCTACCTCCAAAGTCAGTTTTTTGTACAGCAGGACTCTTTATTAGAGCCAGGGTCAGGACATGTGTGGATGAACCACACCCAAACTGGGGATGGAAATGCGCATAGTAGCAAAGAGACGCCAGTGACGATGAGCAGAGTGCAGCATTGAGCACTTGTGTGCAGGCGCTGAGCCGAGTGAGAGGCACACAGGACCCGCTCACACCTCCCGGCTTTGCCTCCATGCCCGCTGGTGCCAGCCCAGAGACCACTGGCGTATGATGCAGCTCCTGGTTCCCCAGGGTACCACTGGCCAGCCTTGGAGGAATCTAATGGGGACTCCTGAGCCGAGGAACGGCCCTGGACAGTTGCACTCAATGGCTCAGGGCTGCCTGGCATGTAGATGATCACGCCCTGATTTGAAACTCCAGGGCGATCTGCTCAGTGAGGGAGTGTGGCAGGTGGAAGGGTCTCGGAGGCAGAAGGTAAGGGGAAAGCCAGGGGTCCCCGCCTGGTCCCCTCGAAGCCCTGGGGGCCAGGCCTCAGGGAGGAAGGTCGAGTGGAAGGAAGCAGGCCTTGTCCGAGCCACGTGAGAGCGAGACCTACAGGGACCATGCCAGGTGTCTCTCCTGCGAACTCATGGACTCACTTGGAGTCAGGGACGTCTCAGTCCAGCTGACTTAGGGAAAGGCAGGGCCATACTTTGTGACCATGGAACACCGAGTTAACAGTCCATCTTTGTTGTTCCTGTGGTGGGAGGCTCTCGAAGGGACGAGAGACAGAGTCCCTCCTTTGTGAGCCTAGAAGGAGCTCCCACGGTGCACAGGAGTGGCCACGGAGTTGGGCCCCCAAGGCTGGGATCCGGCGTGGCAGCCTCAGACACACACCACTTTTACCTGTGGCACCGCCCTTGGCCGTGAGCTCTATGCGGCTTGGATCAGCCCTCTGGCCGTCCCCTGTGCCCAGGTGCCATGCTGCCGTGGCAGGAGGGCAGTGTCCCAGTACCGTGCTGCCTCACGTGGGGGCTGTGGGTGAAACAGGGAAGCCTTTCCGGCCCCACCACCAGCACGAGGGGAAGAGGATGCAACCTGAGTTCTAGTCTTCAGCCTGAAACCAGATTCCCTGCACAGCAGCCTGGGGGCTCCCTGTGTGTTGGGGAACTCCACCACCCTGAGGAGTGTGTCTGGAGCTCGGCCATGCCTCCCAGGGCTCCCCCCAGCTCCTCACCCACAAATGTGTGTCCCTGAGCACTTTCTGGAGGTGTTTGTAGAAGGCAGCCTCTTCTCCCTTGAACGACTGCATTTGCTGCCCACCCACAGCAGCAGCAGGTGGTGAGACAGCCTCACGGCCCTGCCCCTCTGTCTGACAGGCACCGCTCTGTAGAAGGCAAGGCGAGGGCTTGATCTCACGCTGCTCCTGGCTTGGTTCCTGGTGCTCACTGGTCCTGCAGCTCAGGTTGCAGGGGGAGAATTTGTTTTACCAAAGTTAGTGTCATTTCCTGGGGCTTCATAACGAGTTATTATAAACTGGGCAGTTTAAAATGATAGGAATGTATTTTCATGTAGTTCTGGAGGCCACAAGTTCAAAATTGGGGTGCCAGCAGGCCCTGCCCGCTCTAAAGACCCCAGGGGCGGGTCCTTCCAGGCCTCTCTTGGCCGCTGGTGGCTGCCGGCGGCAATCCCTGGCGTCCCTTGGCCTGGGGGTCTCTGCTTGCTTCTTCACCTGGTCCTCCGATCTGTTCTGTCCAGATTTCCCCCTTTTTCTAAAGACACTCATCCTATCGGAATGGGGTCACCCTCCAGGATGACGTCATCTTAACTACATCTGCAACAGCCCTGTCCCCAAATGAGGTCACCTTCACAGGCAGGAGGGTTAGGACTTCAGCATATGACTTGTTGGGAGAGATGCAGTTCAGCCCATAACACACCACATGGGAGGATAACACCGGTTCCAGAACACGCAGAGGAAGCCGCCAGCAGCTCCAGTGAAGCCTCAGCCCCCAGGTGCCCCTTCAGGCACGTTGGGCTGTGGGGGGGACACTTGGGCCCATGTGAGTGACGGAGGCACTTCCTCCAGGAGTACATTTTTAGAACGCACAGCGCCATAAACCAAAGAGAAGGAGACTTCCTGGTGCCCCGTCGGCTTCTGGAGGCAACATTCTCAGCTGACAGCTCTGGCGGCCTCCCCTGTAGGTGAGAGACAGGTAAATGAGGCTCTTGCATCCAACACACAACAGGGTAAAAAATCTCAAGCGTCACCGACACATTGGGGAAAAACGAATCCAGCCTCCTGGGCTCTGGTCTCATCCTCAGCTCGTCACGTGCCCGGGGCCCTAGTCACAGAACCAGCAGCCCCCACACACGAAACCTCTTCCTGTTTCTCTACGTAGAAAGGCACTTGGAATAGAGACGCTGAGCTGTTCTCCTGGTGCCTTTTGTCTTTGTCAACAGCAGGGTTGCGTCTCACTCATGAGAGCCCCGTAGCAAAGTGGGGACCCTGGGACCAGGCTTAAGCCGGGACTTCCCTGGATGGCTGGGCAGAGGAGCTGCAAGAGGCCGGTGGAGCGGGGGTTGGGGGGCGGCCCCCTCCCGAGGTGGCAGCCCAGCCAGAGGCCTCTGGACAGTCTCGCCTCTGGGAGGAGAATAGAGGCCGTGGACGGGGCGGACCCGGCTCAGCCCCGTGCGCTCAGAGGACCAGTGTGAGTCTGAAATGTGGACCTACGTTCAGCCCACATAGCACACCCCGGTGGGGCCTCGGAGCCAGGGGTCTGGAGCCACCAGAAGCTGCCCCTTGGGACCAGCAGCAGCACCAGGGTCCAGACACAGCACCCGGGAGCAGGCGGCCGTCCTCTGAGAGTGACGAGCTGGGTTTCTCCAGGCTTTCCTTCAAAGACAACAGAGGCCCAACTGCCAGCTCACACTGAGGACAGGGACGGGGCAGGTCCACCCTGGGGGCCACGGCCACTCTGGCCCCCAGCACTGTGCCAGGCAGAGAGCAGAGCATGGAATGTGGGGTTTGCTCAGAGCTGGGGAGCCTGCAGGAGCCTGGGGTGGCAACTGAGGGCTCAGCTTTTAGCCCAAACAAACGGCCTTGCGCACTGGCCTAAGCCCCAGGGAAGGGGGGTGGGGACCCAGGAAATGAAAGCAAAAATGAGCTCCAAATAGGATGAAAAGAAGGGGTGCCAGCTGCTCTGTCTGCTGAAAACGCTGGTTTCCATGGCAACAGGATGCAGAGAGAGGGACGCCTGGCCAGGCAGGGTCAGGGAGCCCCAGCAGGCCCTTCTCTGCTCCCAGCTCTGGGATCTATCTGCAAGGAAACCACAGGATTCCCACAGTCAAACTGTCTTGCTTGGTGAAGGCTTCCATAACCCTCCCAGGGAATGCGGGAGACTTACAGAGACAACACGTGTGCGAATGTTTACACAAAAGAGCAAAGCAGAAAAGAAATCACACTCATGCCATCGTAGTTAACACAGTGTTCAGTACTGCTCGGAAATGTGTCCATGGAATTTCTTGTTTACTGGGTGACAGTAGATGCCCTTTGATTGGTGCATGTTATTGGTTGATTTTGTTAACATTTTGCTGAATCTCTTAGACTTCCCCCTACACGTCAAACTGTGGTAGCAGCTCTGACAGGTTTTGCAAGCGGGAAGCAGAGGGAAGGGTGACCACGTGAGTCTGTTGTGCGGAGGTTATCACGGGGAGGAGACGGCAGCATGCGAGAAGCCTCTTTTCCAGAAAGGAAATCTGTGTATTCTAGCTTTGGAAATAGCACATGCTCGCTGGAAAACCTCCAAGCTGTGCTGACAGGAGCTGAAGGGTGGGCACCCATCATGACAACAGCAGACAGTGTCCCTCATTTAAACCTGGATGCGAGGCCTTCCAGATGTTTTTCTGTGTATAGATATCTTGTTTTGAAAAACAACTATAACATGCTGTTTCGTGGTCTATTTTTCACTAATGGCCTTGTGACCAATAAATAGATTAAATGTAACCAGCATACAGCTCAGAGATCTTCCCAGAAGGCCACAATCGGGCACTCTTTTTAAACCCACCAAATGTGCTCTTTCTTCCCTGTGGCTTGGGCATTTTTGAGCATTAGCTTTCAGTACACACTGTGCATAGCGTTCTTATTTTCCCTTTTCACGTAAAGTTTCCCCACTCCGCGTAATATCTGTGATGATCTTCCTAACGGCATAATAGTCACCAAGCGATGCACGGTGGTGGTTTGAACTACTTTCTGTTTGGGGACATTCAGGTGGCTTCTAGTCAGTTTTGTGTTTTTGTTACAACGAATCAAGCCACGATGAATATCTGTGTGCATAGAGCTGTTTGCTCCTGTTTAATTCTTAAGATAAATTCCCCAGGGTAGATGTGTGGGCTCAGAGGATACGAATTTCTTTTTTTTTTCTTTTCTTTTTTTTTTTTTTGAGATGTGGTCTCACTCTGTCGTCCAGGCTGGAGTGCAGTGGCGTGATCTCGGCTCACTGCAACCTTTGACTCCCAGGTTCAAGTGATTCTCCCGCCTCAGCCTCCCAAGTAGCTAGGACTACAGGCACGTGACACCACGCTCAGCTCATTTTTGTATTTTTAGTAGAGGTGGGGTTTCACCATGTTAGCCAAGATGGTCTCGATCTCCTGACCTCATGATCCACCTGTCTTGGCCTTCCAAAGTACTGGATTACAGGCGTGAGCCACTGTGCCCAGCCAAGGATATGAATTTCTATGTGGCTCTTATAGTGCAGTATTAAATTGCTCTCCCTGAAGAGGGGGCTTTGTTTACAAATTGCAGGAGCTTCAGCTGCATTCCGCTCCCTGAGTGCCCCAAGCCTGGTGAATGTCACACAGGCCAGGCGTGACCCCCACCTACCGTCGTCCAAGTACACAGGGAGCCTGGTCACTTCCAAGCAAGTGCACAGCCACAGAGGGTCCCCAGCTCCGCCCAGCCCACCCCTCCCCCCAGGCACTCTGCTGCAGGGGCACAAGGGCAGCGAGGCCTCCTGGGACAGCCGCTCCTCATTCAGCTTCCAGGGACCACCCTGCAGCCAGCACACTGCCCAGGCGGAAGGCGGCTTTCCCTCCAAAACCACCTGGCTCACTTTGCCCTGCTCCTGTGTGGGATACCTCGACACCCAGTGCTAAACAAAAATGGAGTCAGGCAGAAAATACATCTGTTAACATTGCATGTAACAGGGCAAGTTGGAAACATTTTTAAAGTGTATCACTGGGGACTGGATACTGACGTGTGCTTCAGCCACACCCTGGAGGAGCTTTGAAAATGGAGCTAAGCTCTGTGCAGCAGCTTGAGATGCGTTCATGATGTGTTAGGTGACAAAGCAAGTTGCAGCAGAGTGAATCTGGTGCAATTCCATCTTTGTTTAAAAGTACAAAGGGGCCGGGTGGGGTGGTTCACGCCTGTAATCCCAACACTGTGGGAGGCCGAAGCGGGCAGATCACTTGAAGTCAGGGGTTCGAGACCAGCCTGGCCAACATGGTGAAACCCCGTCTCTACTAAAAATACAAAAATTAGTCAGATGTGGTGGCATGCACCTGTAATCCCAGCTCCTCAGGAGGCTGAGGCAGGAAAATCACTGGAACCCAGGAGGCAGAGGTTTTAGTGAGCTGAGATTGCACCATTGCACTCCAGCCTGGGCAACAGAGCAAGACTCTGCCAGCATGGGGGTAGGAGGGATGGTACAAAGGATTGGGGTGCAATGGCTCACCCTGTAATCCCAGCACTTTGGGAGGCTGAGGCAGAAGGATTATTTGAACCTAGGAGTTCAAGACCAGTCTGGGTAACGTAGCAAGACCCCATCTCTACAAAAAATTTAAATACTCTTAAAAGGTATAAGCGGCCACCCATGTGTGTCCACACTTCAGAACATTCTGGAAAGATAAACCAAATGATTAGAAGTGATTTCCAGCGTATGGGATTTCAGGAGACAGATGGGGAAAGCCAGGACTGCAGTGTTCTTTCTTTGCCTCTTTTTTACTTTATTCCTGTGTTGTTTCGATTCTTTAGAGCAAGAGTGTTTTCATTTTGAAAACATACGACAAAGGTTTTTTAGAAACTTGTCTAAAAGAGAAGATAACCCTCAACATCTGATTTTCTGTGTGTTTTCCAAGAGCCCAGTGTGAGGTCAGAGGTCCAGGCAGGTCCCCGGGGATTTTGCTCGAGGGGTCGCTGCCACCCTGACTTCCTCTCCCACAGCAAATAAGACCACACGGAGCTTGGGGGTTTGGGTTGTCCCTTGCTCTTGCTCTGCTGAGGGCTCCACCAGACTGAGACAGCAGGACCCCAGCTCATCTCTGCTCCTCTCTCTAGGACCAGCTGCCTCTGTAAGTACAGTTTTTTGGATAACAGCAAGAAGTTGACTCCTCGACGTGATGTTCCCACTTACCCCAAGGTAAGGTGAGATTCCAGCCCAGAAGCCGCTCTGGCAGGGTCTGGCCCTGCGGCCTGCGTGCTGTGTGCACACTCACATCAACAGCCCCTCCCGGCCCCGGGCTGCGGACGGTCAGGGTTACTCTGAGGCAAAGTATTTTTTCTCTGACATTTGTTTAGCAAAAGTGATCCCGGAGCATACCTTCCCCTGAAAGGCGATAATAGCTCCGCGCTGCTGTCCGCCCGGCCCCTGGAGCTGACTTTGGTAAATGGTTTTCACACTCAAACATTACAGAACTTCAATGTTTAACTAAATTGTTAAAAATTTAATTAAAACATTTTTTTGGGGATCTACTCCTTTGGCCCTGGTCCCCGAGCAATCCTTAGTTGTCCTGACAAGTTTTGCTGTTTTGCACAAAACTGTTCTTAGTTATAAGAGAAGGTGTGACCTTGGTGAGGTAGCAATGGCATTTTTGAAATAATGACAAAAGGAGGGTCTCAAGATGCTGGTCACCCTCTCAATGCCTTCAGCTAGGAAGCGGGCAAAATCCCAGCCCAGTTTATTTTTAATGTGTTCTTGTGCTAAGATTCAGGGAGCACAGATTCCACAGACAGCAGAGGCCTGGGCGGCACACGGTGGGTTCTGCGGCTGCCTGCTCTTCAGGCGGTGACAGCCTTCCAGAGCTCCCATGTGGGCCGCTGGTGTCTGCTAGTCCGCGATTCTATCCACACGGTTCCAAACGGTGCCCTGGATGTTGTCAGGTTTTGGGGTTGGGTAATTTTTGTTGTTTTTTGGGGGGAGTTGGGTATTTTTTGTTGTTTTTTTGAGACGAAGTCTCACTCTGTCACCCAGGCTAGAGTGCAGTGGCACAATCTCAGCTCAACTGCAACCTCTGCCTCTCGGGTTCAAGCGATTCTCCTGCTTCAACCTCTCGAGCAGTTGGGATTACAGGCTCACACCACCATGCCCAGCTAATTATTGTATTTTTAGTAGAGACGAGGTTTCATCACATTGGCCAGGCTGGTCTCAAACTCCTGACCTCAGGTGACCACCCGCCTCAGCCTCCCAAAGTGCTGGGATTACAGGCATGAGGCACTGCGCTCGGCCTTATCTGAGGTTTTTGAATGGAGATTAGTCCTTGTTCCGTCGGAAAATATGCCCCACGCATCTCATGATCGTGTCCCAGGGAGTCATGAAGCACGCCTAGATCCAAAATCAAAGATGTCAGCCCTCTGGTTCTGTTCCCTTATAAAAAAAAAAAACAAAAACAAAAACACAAATATCCTGTAAGATACCGGAGAAGACAATGTGTAATATCCAAGCAGTGTTCTTGTCTTCTGTCTAAATCCACGGCCTCTGTCCTGTGACAGCTTCACCTAAAGCCTGATGTCCTTAGGAGCAGCCCCAGGGCACGTCCGGGTCAGCAGGCCTGCTCTTCAAGCTCTCAGCAGAAACCAGGGATGGGTTCTGGACAGGAGCATCTCAGAATAACTTCTTAGATGGTATTTGAATTTATGCGAAGTGAATCCCCACCCCCCACCACTTCACTTTTTTGTCCTTTTTTTTTTTTTTTTTTGAGATGGAGTCTCACTCTGTTGTCCAAGCTGCAGTGCAATAATGTGATCTCAGCTCACTACAGCCTCCACCTCCCAAGTTCAAGCACCCACCGACATGCCCTGCTAATTTTTGTGTTTTTGTAGAGATGAGGTTTCGCCATGTTGGCCAGGTTGGTCTTGAACTCCCAACCTCAGGTGATCTGCCTGCCTCAGCTTCCCAAAGTGCTGGGATGACAGGCTATTGTCCATTTTCTCATCAGGCTTCTTGAGGTCTCATTTACACTCAGTAGTTCTTTAGGTTCGGAGTACAGTGAATCTTGACAAACTTGCTTAGTCCTGTGACCTCCACTGCAAGCAAGATACGGGACATTTCTGTCACCCCAAACCCTCCCCCTGTCCCTCTGGCCCTGCCTCTGGCGTCCACTGATAGGATTTCCACCGTGCCACTGGCCCTTTCCAGAAGGCTGTGGCCTGTGAGTCTGACGCAGGCGCCTTTGAAAAAGAATGGGAGAAAGAGAAGCGTCCTGGCACGCACATGGCACCGCGGGCCCCCGGCGCCGGGTTAACACGGAGCTCCTGTCCTTTCCAGTACCTGCTCTCTCCAGAGACCGTCGAGGCCCTGCGGAAGCCAACCTTTGACGTCTGGCTTTGGGAGCCCAACGAGGTAAGTGCGGGACTCGTGGGCACCGTATTCCGGGGAGGCAGCCAGGACCGCGGGCCCCAGCGGGACCACCCCCGTCGCTCTTCCTCCTTCATGCCTCCTCATCTTTTTAAAGACTGAAAAAAGACAAAAATGAAAACAAAAAAAAACCCTTGCTTCACCAGGTTTCAGTTGAAAGTAACACTTTCTAGGAGGGCTCAGGAGACAGACCTCACGGCAGGGGGATTCTGTGAGTTGGGGAGGCAGCTGTCAGGGCAGGGAGCCTCCATCCAGGGCTCCTCCATGCTGGGCTCCCTGGGCCTCTGCCCGCCCTGCAGACCCGTGCTGCACCTGCAAACGGGCTGTGTGCTGCAGAACGCCCCTGCTGGGAGCAAGCCTCTCCTTGAGGAAGGGGCTGCGGTCAGAGTGCTCTGCTCTGAGACCGTTGTCTGCAAAGGCAAGGCACAGACAGCCGGCCGCCCCAGATAAGTGACATGTGGGTTCCAGGAACTGTGTCACCTTCTGTAGCAAGGTTGAAGCCAGGAGTTCCAGACCAGCCTGGGTGATACGGCTTGGCTGTGTCCCCACCCAAATCTCACCTGAATTGTCATCCCCACATGTCAAGGGTAGGGCCTGGTGGAGATAACTGAGTCATGGGGGCAGTTCCCCCCATGCTGCTCTCATGGTAGTGACTGAGTCTCAGATCTGAGGGTTTATAAACGGGAGTTCCCCTGCACACGCCCTCCTGACTGCCGCCACGTAAGTGATCGTCTCCTCCTTCACCTTCTGCCGTGATCGTGAGGCCTCCTCAGCCGTGTGAAACTGCGAGCCCATTAAACCTCCTTTTCTTTATGAATTTCCCTGTCCTCGGGTGTGTCTTTATTAACAGCGTGAGAACAGACTAATGCACTGGGCAGCATAGCAAGACCTCGTCTCTACAAAACGAAAAAAGTGTTAAATTCCCATTGGCTGAAAAATTAAAAAAAAAATTGGGAATTTTTGTGTATTTTGTACCCCAAGAAATGAAAAAGTTTTCTCATTGCAGCCCTCGGGCCCAGCAGTTTTCAACCCACCAAAATCTGAGGACGTTTTTCTGCTTGTCAGCAACATGGAAAATGCAGACGGTCCTCAGCAAGCTCACCTGCGCTTTGTGACAAGGCAAGGGCAGGAAGTGGGATCCCCGAGGTCAGGTTGCTGACCCCTGAGTCCCTGCCCTCTGCTAAACGATCCAGCCTGCACTCCCCACCCCAGTTCACCCGGAAGGGCAGCAGGCGGTCAGCCCCAGGGGCTGCACTACTGCAGACCTCAAAACCTCCGGCCGCCACGTGCCAGTTCGCTCCCCAGCTCTGAGAGTGGGGAACGGGGCACGGAGACGACTGGAGGAACCGGCTCTACACGTGCAGCATGACTGTCTAGGTCAACGCATAAAAAGAAAGGGCCCCGGGTGCGGGAGTCGTGAGGAGAAAGGGACGCGCTGAGCTGCGGGCCTGCAGCGGTGGCTCCCAGGGACCCTGCACCGGAGCTGAGACTGGGCAGAGCAAGTCCCCGGCCAGCAGACACCGCGGACGGTTAGAGCTCACCGACTCCTGCCCCTGCCTGTGGGCAGGCACCGCGCCTGGAGCATCGCGCAGAAAAATCACCATCCCTGGCGAGGTGCGGTGGCTCACACCTGTAATCCCGGCACTTTGAGAGGCCGAGGTGGGTGGATCACCGGAGGTCAGGAGTTCGAGACCAGCCTGATCAACATGGTAAAACTCCATCTCTACTAAAAATACAAAATTAGCCAGGCGTGGTGGCTCATGCTCGTAATCCCAGCGACTCAGGAGGCTGAGGCAGGAGAATCGCTTGAACCCAGGAGGCAGAGGTTGTGGTGAGCCAAGATCATGCCATGGCATTCCAGCCTGGGCAACAAGAGTGACACTCCATCTCAAAAAAAAAAAAAAATCACCATCCCCAAAGTCGTTTTGACTGCAGCCTCTTGTGAGGAAGAGCTAAGCCAGAGGCCACTGACGACGGCAAAGCACCTGCATGGAAACGGCCCTTGCTGTCTTTTCTGCCACCGTCTACCAGGAAACCCTTTGAGCACAGGCCACTGTGACTGGGGAGATCGGGCTTGCCCCACGAAGCTGAGGGATCTGTGCCTCCGTCATAGAAAGGCCACCTCTGTCCTGTGATCGCAGAGTGGATTCACACCCGCTCTCGGGGCTGGTGGGCAGGCAAGGCAGACGGGTCCCGGCAGCTGGACTCAGCCTCTGGGTGGTGTCTCCCATGGCCTGTGGTTTCTGCCCAGCAGATCCCAAGGGCACCCCAGGAGACCGATGAGGGTTCCAGTGCTTCCAAGAAGCATCTAGCTGCCTGCGTGTGAGAACACAGAGATGCCCAAGACAGGAGCCTTGGCCTCAGGCAAATCTGGCGATGCCAAGAATTTTGGAATGTGAGTGGCAAAGAGGGACGACTAGAGGGACACGGGACACAGCCCCTCGGCCCCACAAAGCTGCATCTGGCTGCCCATGAGGCAACGGGCACTCAGAACGCCAGTGCCCCCCAGCTGATCACCTCTCTCCCTTCCAGCAGGGGTGACCCCGTCTTTCTCCCAGTGGCTCGAACCAGTGTCCTGCCCATCACAAACCGGACGGAGGACATGACTTCAGGCTGCCGTGCCCTCCCATTTGTGATGGCCTCTGCCCAGGACTGTGGCCCACCTCTATCAAGTGCAGAGCTGGGAGGCTTCAGGAGCCTCCCCCGTCATCTCATGAGTCCCCCACGGGTGGACCATGCAGCCCACTCAGACCAGGACCCGTTGCCACATGCGGCAGCTACCCACTCCCCCGTGCCTGCCTGGGGCTCAGGACTGCACGTGCAGCCACAGAGACATACGGCCTTCCTGCCCCACAGCCTCCACGTAGGCCACATAAGTGGCACCACGTGGCTCTGTCTGCAAGTGGGCATCTCCTCTTGACTCTGATCAAACAGCAGACACATCTGCCCTTCACAGCTGCCTTGAGCAGCATCTGGGCTGGTCAGGTGGAGAGTGATGATTTTCCAGGCTGCAGCCCCTAGAGTCCTAAGCGCCAGCGTTCAGGATGGTGAGGGGCCAGCAGCTCTGGGCAGTGGGGCCCCTGGCTGGGTGATCCAGGCAGCAGCTGACAGCGGCCTGGGAGCCAGCATGGGGGAGACATGTCCTTACATGGGGCCCCATCTCTAAAAGCCGGACTGATGCCCAGCACATTTTCCAAGCTACAGCTGCACTGTCCCCCCAAGGAAAACGAGTATGTGGTTCACGTGCTTTAAGGACGCATCCCAGGTGACATTTCAAGCTCCCATCTGTGGCCGCATGTGGAGGAGTTTCCAGTTTTCCAGATGGATTCTCTGCAATGCCAGAGAACCCTCTGCCTCCTGTAGAGCCGTCTCATCAATGCCATGATTGCAAGCTTCGATCTACAAAAACGCACCCCCTGGCAGCATTTCCAGGTCTCATACACAGCCTAACAAGTACAAATGGATATTTTGGTGTCACACCCTGTCCTCGTTTGTGAGGCCGCCGTAACAGTGCAGAGACTGGGGTGGCTGCAGCCACAGAAGGTGATTCCTCAGTTCTGGAGCTGGAAGTCCGGGATCAAGGTGGCTGCCAGGTTTGGCTTCTCCAGGGGCCTCTGTCCGTGGCTTGCAGACGGCCACCGTCTTGCTGTGTCCTCCTGCGGCCTGTTCTCTCTGCACACGCACCCCCGGTGCTCTTCTTATAAAGACACCAGTCCCAGCGGGGCACGGTGGCTCACGCCTATAATCCCAGTACTTTGGGAGGCTGAGGTGGGCAGATCACGAGGTCAGGAGTTCAAGACCAGCCTGGCCAATATTCTGAAACCCTGTCTCCACTAAAAATACAAAAATTAGCCGGGTATGGTGGCGCATACCTGTAGTCCCAGCTGTTCAGGAGGCTGAGGCAGGAGAATTGCTTGAACCTGAGAGGCGGAGGTTGCTCTGAGCTGAGATCGTGCCATTGCACTCCAGCCTGGATGACAGAGTGAGACTTCCTTTCAAAAAAAAGACAACAGCCCCATTGAACCAAGGCCTTACCCTGACTGTATGGAACCTTCCTGACCTCCGTAAAGGCCCTGTCTCCAAATAGCCCACTGGGGTCGGGGCTTTAACACATTGCAGTTTGGTTTGTAACATGCTCTTTTGGGAAGAGAAGGTCGTGCAATGAGCAGAGGCAGGCAGGAAGCCATGCTGGGCTCTGGCAGGAATGGCCCAGTGCCCTGCACAGACAGCAGGCAGCGGGCGACTGGGCTGGAGGCGGGCACAGGCAGGGGGCCCTGGTCGGGGGACACCTGCTGGGACTGTCTAAACTGCCCCTTTTCTGCATGTCTCCCCCCCTACTGGGCTCCCCACCCAAGATCTGGTTTTTCCAGAAAGCAATGCCCACTTTGGTCAAACTCTCATTTTTAAAACTCACTTCATCTTTTCCTCCCTGACTTAATGAGCTCCAAGGCACTGACTGAGCTGCGCTGAAATAGATGTCCACCATGACAATAAATCCTCTTTGGGACTGAAAACAAAATCTGTTTCAGCTTGAACAGCCTGACCTTGGGCTGGTCAGAATCTCAAGAGAAGCCAGAGTTCCATGAAAAAGGGTTGGGAGGAGCGGCTCTCCCAGGGCGGGCTCCCTCTGCACACTGCCGTTAAGACAGCGGGGGCCCCAGAGGAGCGCAGGTCAACATTTCTGGATGTGGATCGTCAAAGCGCCTTTGATCTCCAGCCTCAGGCAAGGAGAGGGCCTTTCTCTCTGTGACGCCACTGTGCTCAGGTGTGTGGGGGATAGAAGTGTGTCCTGGAAACCTCAGCGGTGATACTCATCCACTGAGATTGTTTTACATGTGTAGAAATCAATAAAACCTTCTGGTGTGGTGATTTGGGAGCGGGGTCTGCTCTCTCGCCTAGTCGCCATCCTTGCTTTCTTAGAATCCCCTTGACTTCGGAACCAGCCCTCCACCCCCAGGAGACCCCCCAGTGTGCTCTCAAAGCCCCACCCATCTGGGTGGCGTGGAAAGGCCGGTCCAAAGACCGCTCCTCCTGCATCTCGCTGACCAGGCTTCGCTCTCGGCAGACTTTCTGGGAAGGGGAGAACCCACCCTCCTGCCGTCTGCCCTGCTGGCACTCTGAGGACGACAGAGGGAAGCCAGGGGCTGGGGAGCTGGCCACACGGCTGCCCGATGCCCACCCTTCTCCTGTGCCCACAGATGCTGAGCTGCCTGGAGCACATGTACCACGACCTCGGGCTGGTCAGGGACTTCAGCATCAACCCCGTCACCCTCAGGAGGTGGCTGGTGAGTACCAGACCCGCCTTTGGGTCCTCCGGGCAGGTGGTGTCATCCAGTTCCACAGGCATGGAGGGAATGCATGACCAGGGCACCTTCCGGATGGCACTTCGCTCCCTGAGAGCAGAGGCGATGTTCCCCAGAGAGTTCTGTGAGGACGCTCGGCCTGTCTCTGTTCGTCCTTCCACCAAAAAACGTTCTTTACGCCCGAGCTCCTGCTCTGATGAGCAAGAAAATAATGAGACTCTGCCATCATCAAGTGAAGCAGTGTGCCCTAAAGCAGCAGCGTGTGGGAGTGTGTGTGTGTGAGTGTGGGGGTGTGGGTGGGAGTGTGTGTGTGTATGTGTGTGTGAGTGTGGGTGAGTTGGAGTGTATTCGTATGTGTGAGTGTAGGGGTGTGGATGTGAGCATGTGGGGGTGTCTGTGTGTGTGTTTAGGGGTGGGTATGTGTGAATGTGGGGTGGGAGTGGTGTGTGTGTCAGTATGGATGTGTGCATGTGCGTATCTGTGGATGTGGGATGTGTCTGCATGTGTGTATCTGTGTGTGGATGTGGGGCGTGTGGGGGCACATGTGTGAGAATGGGTGTGCGTGTATCTGTGGATGTGGGGTGTGTCTGTGTGTGCGTGTGTATCTGTATGTGTGGATGTGAGGTGTGTCTGTGTGTGTGTGGATGTGGGATGTGTCTCTGGGCATGTGGATGTGTGTGTATGTGGGGTGTGTGAGTGTACATGTGTATCTCTGTATGTGGGGTGTGTGAGTGTACATGTGTGTCTGGATGTGGGGTGTGTGGGGGTACATGTGTGGATGGGTGTGTGCATGTGTCTGTGTGTGAGTGTGGGGGGGGTGTGTGCCAGTGTGTCTGTATGTGTGGATGTGGGGTGTGTCTGTGTGTGGATGTGCATGTGTATCTGTGTGGATGTGGGGAGTGCGAGTGTATGTGAGTGTGTAGGAATGAGTGTGTGTGTGTGCATGTGATGTCTGTATGTGTGAGGATGTTTAGCAGCAGGTATTTTAATGAAATGTTCAGAACCAAATATTAAAAACCTATTAAAGATTTCATGGGATTGAGGACGCAGAGCCCCCTCTTGGAGTCTCCCCACCCCCTAACTTTGTGCCCCATTGTCCTTGACTGCAAGGTGAAAACTCCTGGTGGGAGCTCTGTCCCCACACCTGCCCCGGGTGGCACGGTGTGGCCCATTTGACGCTCTCAGGGTCTCTGCGTCGCCTCATTGGTCTCTGTGGTAAATACGGGAACGCTGTTGACCTCTGGTTGGGATGAGGGTTTGGCAAAGAACATTCAAGCCCGCGCACAGCCTTCTGGGTGGCTTGGGATGAGACGTGGGTGGGCCCAGGCACAGGGTGACCCCGACCCCTGCCTCCCGCAGCTCTGTGTGCACGACAACTACAGAAACAACCCCTTCCACAACTTCCGGCACTGCTTCTGCGTGGCCCAGATGATGTACAGCATGATCTGGCTCTGCAGCCTCCAGGTGGGTCCCGCCCGCCGCACACCCAGACCTCCGCTCTCCGGGTCAGGTGGAGGCTCCTTCCGGGGAGCGGCAGCCCCCTCCCACCGAGAATGCCGCAGGCACGGGGTCCTCAGCCGCTCCACCCCTCCTAGGGAAGCCCCCCTACCCATCAGTCTCCCCGTGGGAGAGGCTGCTACTAAGATTCTGTAAGTGCGCCCCGACCTGGTCGCCCCTCCACCCGCAGGCAGGCCAGTCCTCTCCCACCACGCCGGGAGACTCCACATGGCTGCAGGGTCTTTGTCCCCTCTTCCACCACCACCACAAACCGGTTCCACCCCCCTCACTGTCCCACCCTCCGAGTGAAGAGGGCAAACACCTATGCCCTATTTTCCAATCCAGGAGAAGTTTTCCCAAACGGATATCCTGATCCTAATGACAGCAGCCATCTGCCACGATCTGGACCACCCCGGCTACAACAACACGTATGTACAGGGTTTTCTCTTTTTTTCCTTGTAAAAGGCACCCTGGCGACCGGAGGGAACCTATCAGCCCAACCCTCAGAGCAGTTCCCAGATGGAACTTTCAGTGGCAGCCTCCCAGCTCCAGCTTCCAGACTTTGCCCAGGGCCTTGGGTCTCCCCGGACCAGGAACCTTCAGGATTATCAGACCCCGGGGGGCTTTCCCAGCCCTGTGCGTGCGCAGCTCCAGGCTCAGGTGCACAGCAGAGCCTGGCTGAGCCAGCGCCTTCTCCACCCCAGGCAGAAAGCAACACCGGTGTGTACGCGGGGATGGGGGCTCCACACGCCCCTCTCAGGAACTTGACCCTCCCTGGACAGACCCCCAGCTGGCTTCCGCAGGGAAGGCAGAGAGCAGGGGCCAGAAGAGAGTGAGAAAAGAGACTGCAGACGGACAGGAGGTGGGAGTGAGGTGTCCCTCCTGGGGCGAGGGTGCCTGAGCCTCCCCTCATGCTCCCCTCGCCTCCCAGGTACCAGATCAACGCCCGCACAGAGCTGGCAGTTCGCTACAATGACATCTCGCCGCTGGAGAACCACCACTGTGCCGTGGCCTTCCAGATCCTCGCCCAGCCTGAGTGCAACATCTTCTCCAGCGTCCCCCTTGATGGGTTCAAGCAGATCCGACAGGTGCGCAGGGCGAGGGCCTCTGACCGGAGAGGGGAGCGTTCATGGTTGGGGCGGAGCAGCCCCACTCTCCAATGGATAGAGGCTCCCAGAAGCTCCTGGCCACAGCAGTGCCCTGGGGACCCAGGGAAACCCCTCACTCCTTCCTCACCTCCAGGCCCCAGGTGGAGCCCAAGAAAAGAGGGTACCCTCACCATGCACACCATCCACACTTCCCAGCTTCTATTTAATTCAGCCTCCACTGGCCCCTTTGAGAGAAATCCTTTGTCCATCTTCCAGCCCAGGAAAGAATTAGCGAAGGTATGTGGCCCGACCAAGGAGGGGCCAGGCCCTGGACAGACATGTCTGCTGCATCCAACGTAGGAAAGCTGCCCACTGCCCCATAACCCCAGTTGCTGTCACCTGTCACCCACGGCCTGGTCAGCCCCCTCCTTTTTATTTTAGAGACAGAGTCTGTATCACCCAGGCTGGAGTGCAGTGGTATGATCTCAGCTTACTGCAACCTCCACCTCCCAGGTTCAAGCAGTTCTCCTGCCTCAGCCTCCCGAGTAGCTGGGATTACAGGTGTGCGCCACCACACCTGGCTAATTTTCAGTATTTTGTTGTTGTTGCTTTGTTTTGTTTTTTGAGACAGTCTTGCTCTGTCACCCAGGCTGGAGTACAGTGGCACGATTTCATCTCGGCTCACTGTATCCTCCGCCTCCCAGGTTCAAGCAGTTCTCCTGCCTCAGCCTCCTGGGATTACAGGCACACGCCACCACACCCAGCTAATTTTTGTATTTTTAGTAGAGACAGGGTTTCACCATGTTGGCCAGGATGCTCTCAAACTCCTGGCCCCAAGATCCGCCCGCCTTGGTCTCCCAAAGTGCTGGGATTACAAGTGTGAGCCACTGCACCCAGCAGATTTTCAGTATGTTTAGTAGAGATGGGGTTTCTCCATCTTGGCCAGGCTGGTCTCCAACTCCTGACCTCAGGTGATCCACCTGCCTCGGCCGCCCATCGTGCTGGGATTATAGGCATGAGCCACTGTACCTGGCCACCTCTTCCATTTTAGATAGGAGGGCTTTCTGCCTCTGGAGGGGATGGTGCAGGGGGAATGAGGACGTCTGCAGGAGAGGAAGATGGTCTGGTCCACCTGCCCCGAACAAACACTCCGGCTCACCGGAATCACGCCCCTTTCCACACGGGAGTTCCTCATCAAACCCTCACTCCCTGACATCTGCAGGGGAGGGAAGCTCTCAGAGTAACCTCTGGGAGAAATGCAGTGGGTTGAATAGCAGCGTCCTTCAAACAAGGTCCACCTCCGGTGAACATGACCTTATTTGGAAAAAGGGTCTGTGCATCTGTACTTGTTAAGATCCCCAGATAAGACTGGTGTGGATTGCCCAGGGGGGCCCCAAATCCAAAGACTAGTGTCCTTGGAAGAGACAGAAGAAAAAATGGCCCAGACACAGGGAGAAGGCCATGTGGAGAGGCGGTGAGTGGCGGCTGGAGTGACGAAGCCCCAAAGCAAGGGACTCCGGGGCCCCCAGGAGCAGGAGGAGGCAAGGAAGGACCCCCCCCCAGAGCCTTTGGAGAGAGCGGGCCCTGCCCACACCTGGATCTTGGTTCTGGCCTCCAGCACCGTGAGAGAATGAGTTTGTTGTAAGCTGCCTGGTTTGTGGCACTTGGTGTGGCGGCCCCAGGACACCCACCCAGTGTGCCGTTCCACCAGGCAGACCTCAGCCATTGGAAGTCTAAATGGCTTCCTTCCAGAGGCGGCCGACACCGGCTGTCTGGACTCCAGTGCTCCTGAGAGCCGCTGAGCCTCCCTTTGTCGGGGAGCTGCAGCCTCCTCCACCACAGCTGTCCAGTGTCTCTACACCTCCAGGAAGTTCAAAGCTCAACGTAAAAAACCGAAGTCAGTGAAACATTTGAGGAAGCTCCGAGGAAGCAGCATGCCCCGGTGGACAGGCCCCGAGGCATCACGACCTCCTGCGAAACTGTCAAATGTCGCCATGTCCCAAAAGCAGAGGTGGCAGCACCAGGCTGAAGTTCACCGGGACGCTGTGGTCCGGGCCTCTGCTGGCCCGTGCTGTGCCGGCCGCTGTGAGTGTGAGAGGCGCAGAAGGGAACATTTCCATCCATCCACGTGCGCGGTGTGCGCGGTGACGGCCTGGGAGGAGCACGGACAGCTGCACCCCGGAACCCACTAGGGGCTGACACACAGCCGCAGGGCTCATGGCCTGTGATGATGTCATCGCGCAAACACACACAGTTCAACAGAGACAATCTGCAGTCATTACTGAATCGCCGGTTCCGGTACAGTTACCTCCCCCTTATCTACAGGCTCTCTGGCCTTTCATCCATGCTCGCCCCTCCCCACCCTGCAAGCAGGTGCCCTGTGTGGCTGCAATAAGCCGTAGTGAATCTTCATCTGCAGTAGGTAAAGGGGCAACCGGGAAGAGAGAACAGTGTATCTGCCTCTGCTACCCCAGTGGAGAGTCCCTGCAGGGACAGAACGTGGGGAATCCAAGGAAGTGAGCACCCCGTAGTGTCGGCCTGGTCCCACCGAGCCATGTCGGAGAGCACCCCACGAGAGGAGGAGCCACCGGACTGGAGGAGCAGCCACTCTGCACGTGGGATCGTCCTCATACCCAGCCACCATGGGGACACACCAGCATCGTCCTGCTTCACATGCTTCACTGACTTCAAAATAGGACTCTCCTCTAGGGATAAAGTTAGTTTTACCAATTTTTTAAAAATGTATTTGTCATGGAAGATTTCAGGAATAAATGCTTCACGAATAACATAATTAAATGTTTACCGGAAAATTGAGTAATTCCAGATACAAGTGATGCCCTCCCCAATATATATTTGAAAGGACCTAGTTTGATGGGTTTGGGTTTTGTATCTGATGCTTATGGTTTTATTTTCCTGAAAGAAGGAAATATACCTGACACAGAGATGGGTTCTGTAAATGCCTGTGGGATGGATGAGTGGGTGCATGGATGGATGGATGGATGGATGATGGATAGATGAATAGATGGATGAATGGATAGATAGATCGGTGAATGGGCAGGTGGATTGATTTGATGGATGGATAAATGAATGGATGGATAAATGGAAGAAAGGAAGGAAGGACAGACAAACGGATGGACAAAGAGATGGAAGGATGGATGGGTGGATGAATGGAAGGACAGATGGGTGGGTAAATGGATGGGTGGATAGATGGATGGATGATGATAAATGGATGGATGGAGGGAGGGAGAGAGGGATGGATTGATGGATGGAAGGATGGATGGGTAGATGGATGGATGGGTGGGTGGATGGGTGGATGAATGGATGGATAGATAAATGGATAGAAGTATGGATGGATGGATGGGTAGGTAGATGGATGGAGGGTGAATGGGTGAGTGGGTGGATGGATGGATAGATGGATTGGATGGGTTTTGGGTGGGTGGATGGATGTGTGGACAAATGAATGGAGGGGTGATGGATGCACATATGAACCAGAATGAGGGATATACGAAATAATATGTACACAGGAGGCATCTGTTGAACAGTTGTTGGGATATGCCCTGTGTTAACACTTTGTTCTCTTGCTATTCAGGGAATGATCACATTAATCTTGGCCACTGACATGGCAAGGCATGCAGAAATCATGGATTCTTTCAAAGAGAAGATGGAGAATTTTGACTACAGCAATGAGGAGCACATGACCCTGGTGAGTGGGCTCGTTCTGCCTGGGTGGGCAGCCAAGCAGTGGGCTGGTTGAGTGGGTCATCCATCCAGCTCACACTGGAAGCCAAGAAACCGAAATTTAGTCTTGCCTTGGAACAAAGTGTCTATATATCTGGTTTTTGAGGTCGGGACTCTTACTAGGAAAGCCCAGGGCAGGGCCTCCCTCCTGACGGAGCCTCCTTCACGGTCAGAGGGGCACTCTCCCATTCCTCCATCTCTTTTGGATTTGAGGGAGAGACGTGGTTGAAGGCCGCGCATCTTGCTCTGTTTACAGAGAATAAAACCAGCTCTCCCATGAAGGCACAGCCCCAGCATGGTACCCTGAAAGCCCACCTCTGTGGGGGCAACTCCGACCCAGCTCCTGCTCCCCAAGCCAGCATCCCCACCAGGCATCACCCATCCGTCCCACACCATAGCCCAGCACCCCTCTAAAACCAGGACAAGGTGGCCAGAGAAGGGGCAGGGGGCCTCACCCATGAGAAGGTGCACCTAGGTTGCCCAGCGTCTGCCTTTTAGAAAGGGCAGGCCCTAGTCATTTGTGCCTGGTGCAGGCGGGACTGAGGGACACCAACCCTCCACAGCCTGTCCTATAGTGACTGTTGGCCTAGTTCAGGTGGAAATTGCTGCACCCCAGGGCCTGCCCTGTCTCCTCCTGAAGCACCCGTGGTGTGCCGAGCCCTGGCCAAGCTTGGAGGGAGCTCCCGTCCCCTGGGAAGATGAGCAATGCACCCACCTGGGAGCCAGCAGAAAATAGGGGGTGGCCAGGCATGGGGAAGTACTTTGGGGGGCATCACCTGGGCTGGGGGTGGCCAGAAAGGCTGGAAGGAGGGGACCCACACAGGACCTTGAAGGTTCATTCTCCATTGGAGGAGGGAGCCTGTCCTCCCGAAGTCAGCCAAGCTCGGTTGCCTGGTCCAGCTTCATGGTCCTCAGTCTCTTCCTGCGGTAATGGCAAGTCCAGAGCCAAGCAGCAGCAGTAGGCCGTGTTCTGCCTTCTGTTACCTAAATTCCAGAACCTCTTCTTTCAGCTGAAGATGATTTTGATAAAATGCTGTGATATCTCTAATGAGGTCCGGCCAATGGAAGTTGCAGAGCCTTGGGTGGACTGCTTATTAGAGGAATATTTCATGCAGGTAAGAGCCTTGCAGAGCAGTCAAGCCTCCAGCCACTCTTACCAGCCCACTTAGTAAGGGTTCACGTTCAACAGAGCACGCCAGGGTGGGCCGTCCACAGGTCAGCCTCCAGAAAGCCTTCACGGCACGCGTACATCAGAAACGAAATCGGTTCTAATTTGAGACCTGAAAGATGGTGACAACCCAGAAAAGCTAATGTGAAACTGCCACCTGTCACCGCTCACTGAGCCACTCTTAGAGGCAGGCTTGTCGAGCAAACTGCCTGAAAGTCAAGAAACAAGAACTGCAGAGGCAGGAGAGCGCCCCGCGAGGGCCGACCGGCAGGTCAGCTTACACAGACGGCCACGGGAAAGTCAGGGACAGAGACGCCAGGCCAGCCGAAAACAACCGCTACATATTCATGCCACAGCTTGATCAACCCCGGGAGAACGCAGGAGGGTTTCTGCAGAAGCTTCTGCAGTCCTGGGATACACCCAGCTCGCCTCTGCCTATCCCTAAGCTCCGTCTTCCCACCAGACCTGCTGGCCCGGCTCTGTTCAGCTCTGAAGATGCCGCCGCCTCCTCCTTGCTCTTACTGACACACATCTGTGTGCGGCTGGGTTGGTCGCTGGTTAAGTGGTGCATCTTGTCTTTCTCTAAGAACGGTGATCCGGTTCCGGGCGTGTCTGTCTTTAATGTCGCTGTCTACTGCATTCCCTGCAGAGCGACCGCGAGAAGTCAGAAGGCCTCCCCGTCGCCCCGTTCATGGACCGAGACAAAGTGACCAAGGCTACAGCCCAGATTGGGTTCATCAAGTTCGTCCTGATCCCAATGTTTGAAACAGTGACCAAGGTGAGCGACTGTCGCCACATGCCACACATGCATGCACTCAGATACATGAGCACACACGTGCATGCACACACACGCACACAGGCACACATATACATGCACACAGGCACACACTTGCACACATGCAGGTACACACACATGCACACAGGTGTGCACATACAGGTACACACAGGCACACACATGCACATAGGGACACAGGCACACAGGCACACACATGCGCACACATGCAGGTATACACGTGCACACACATGCACACGGGCGCACACAGGCATGCACACACATGCACACAGGCACACACGTACATAGGCACACAGATACATGCACATACCCAGGTATACACACATACACAGGCACACATACAGGTAAACACAGGCACACAGTCATGTACACACAGGCACACACAGGTACACACAGGCACACACATGCACACAGGTACAGGCACACACATGCACACACAGGTACAGGCACACACATGCACACACAGGTACAGGCACACACATGCACATATACACGCACACAGGCACACCTGCACATCCTGAGCAGCCTCTTCCCCAGCTGTTGTGTGGCCACTGTCCCTGCCATCTACGGCCTGGCCAGTGACCCCGGCATCTCCCACTCTGTGCTGCCCTCCCTGCCTTGCCTCGTCGGGCCCTGGGGGCCCCTCACCGCCCTTGTCCTTCATTGCTGGCCTTCAGGACCCTGGAGGCAGCCCCGGCTGTTGCCTCTCCTGTCCCCTTCTCTGCGCCCCCGTTCAGCCGAGTCTGCACCTGTGGAGGAACCACTGTGAAGCCCCTGTCCGGGTCCCAGTCTCCACCGTACCCAGCGCCCGAGGCCATGCTCGCTGCACACAGCTTGCTCCTGCCCAGCTCCCCACAGGGCCCCTGCCAGGGCCCCCCAGCATGTCCAGAACAGGGTCCATCTTGTTTCCCCCGCTTTGCCCTACTGAGCCGTGGCCGGATCAGGGCTCCCAGCCTCGCACCCTCCCCTTCCCAGGCTCCGGTGTGCTGTGGACCCTTCTGCTCCAGGGCAATTCTTCCCGCTCCCACCCTCTTCCTGCCCCCAGGACCCTCAGCCAGGAGGCCTGTCAGCTCCTTTCCTCTGCCCTGTGTCTTTGCAAGAACCTCCCCCTATCCCCCCTGCCACCCTCGTCTCACGGGGGCAGGGGACACAAGAGGCAGGGAGGGGACTTTCTGGAGGACTTCATGGAGGGTGAGGAGGGCCAGAGACCGAGTCACAGCACGGCGGGAACCGCCAAGCCAGCACGCGGGTTTCCCGGAGCTGGGACTGGCCCAGAGGCTTCCGTGCAGTGCACTGACACCTGTTTTTCTCTGACATTCCCATGGCCTTAAGAACGGGGACTCTGAACGAATCCCTTGTCCCCCACAGCTCTTCCCCATGGTTGAGGAAATCATGCTGCAGCCGCTTTGGGAATCCCGAGATCGCTACGAGGAACTGAAGCGGATAGATGACGCCATGAAAGAGGTAAAACGCACGTCGAGAAGCGCCTTCCCCGTGGCAAGCAGGCACGCTGCCCTCCGCACTCCTGACTCCAGAATCTCGGACATGCCAAGCAGGGCACCACTGAAGGTGGCCCCATGGACAGGAGCACGTGTCCGTTCCATGAAAAAGCCTGGCTCAGTAAGATTAGGGAATGTGATCAGAGACCCAAAACTGCATTCGCCGAGGGCGCCTTCCGGGGAGTTGACTGGCCATGCCCTTCACGAGAATCACACCAGTACCCACCCCTGTGGGCACCCAGGTGTCCTTGGGTGTATCGGCCACTGTGAGAGCATCTCGGACCCCTCTGAGGACAGTGCCTGGCACAGGGACAAAGTGACCACCACCTGCCAGCTCCTGGGCCTAGAACATACATCCACTAACACCTCTCATGAGCCACGGAGCCTGGAGCTGGCTTTAGGTTGCTGTTGGATTGATACTGTTTTGGAGGGAGGGGTCAAGGTCACGGGCTTAGGGCCCATGCAGTCTCTCCACAGATTGCCCCAGCCCTCTGCTGTCCGGCTGCCCATGACGCGGCCCCTGCCCCGCCCCCGCCCACCCTCCTGCGTCCTCCCTCCAGCTCCCCCAGGCAGCTAGAACAGCGTCACTGCTCCTGCAGGGTTTGGCCTCCTGGCCTTGGCCGGTGTTGCCTCTGCCACCCCCACTCCCCACAGTGCCCTCTGTGTCATCGGAGCCCTCTCCACAGCCCGTAAGGCAGGGCTCCCCGAGGTACTGTGCCCACCACCCCATCTTCTCTGCCTGGGCGCTCCTGAAGCCCATGTGGCCCACGACGCCCTGTTGAGTGCTGAGCCATTTCAGGCCTAGCCTTGTGCTGGACTCTCCTCCCTCCCCGGATGGCCCTGAGCTCCCCATGCCCACACCCTCCTGGGGCGCCAGGCCAGGTACATGGCAGATGCTCAGTAATTGCTCAGGAAAACCCGGATCAGCTGCCCGACTTCTCTAGCTAGAGTCTCCTGCTGGAAATTCACAGAAAGGTCTCTAAAGCTCTGGAAGGCTGAGTGCAGTTATGCAGAGGGGCAGATGTAGCAAGAAGGTGTCCCCCACTCCAGACTCCTGCAGGAGAGCTAAAGGAGCTCCTGCCTCTCTCGTGGGCCCTTCAAGAGCCAGAGCCATGAGGCTTTGAGTCTCCAGTCCTGAGCCCTGACGCGCAGTCGGGGATACTGGTCCCTGCGGCTCTGGTGGCTGCAGCCGGGTGAGCTCCCCGTCCAGGCCGCAGACGAGGCACCAGAAGTAGCGGGACAGGGCTCACAGAGCTGCCTCTGAAGAGCCGGTGTCGGGAGTGCCTGGACGCACGGGCTGGAGACCGCAGGCCTTCACATGGCGGCATCTCCAGACAACAAGAGCTGCTGGCAGAGAGGCAGACACTCCCCCGCTGTCTCCTGCCCCTGACTTGGCCTTCTCTGCACTCTGTTCCAGGTACAGAAGAAGACTGACAGCTTGACGTCTGGGGCCACTGAGCAGTCCAGAGAGAGAAGCAGAGATGTGAAAAGCAGCGAAGGTAACGCTCGCCCTGCTGAAGCGGCATCTCAGCATAAACCATCATTCCCGTGCAGGACAGAAGGAAAGAGGAAGGGGAGGAAAGCCAAGTTCGGAAATACCTTTAAATGAATGGAACTTGTATTCCTTGCATCCAGTCATTAGAATTAGGCTCCTAAGGCCGCTGGCTCACGCCTGTAAGCCCAGCACTTTGGGAGGCCAAGGTAGGCAGATCATTTGAGGTCAGGAGTTCAAGACCCAGCATGGCCAACATGGTGAAACCCCATCTCTACTAAAAATACAACAATTAACTGGGTGTGGTAGGGCGCACCTGTAATCACAGCTCTGGAGGCTGAGGCAGGAGAATCACTTGAACCTGGGAGAGGGAGGTTGCAGTGAGCTGAGATCGTGCCATTGCACTCCAGCCTGGGCAACAGCAAGACTCCATCTCAAAAAAAAAAAGAGGGGGAACATGCTTTAGTTAATAGAAAAACATCAATAATTAGCATATGCATCACTTATAAGAGTAAGCACTTTTTAAAAGTGCGATTAAAGTACTGAAAACTTTTCAAAAATCATGTATTTGCTTTATACGGCTTTGAGCTGTTTCCTCTGCCCCTTTCGACCTGGTCATTCAGCTCCCAGGGGATCAGAGCAGACCTCTGCTCACCTCATCAAAAGGCCACACTGTGCATGTCTAACAGATAATTCAAGAGATACTCAGTTCAGCAAGCATCACGGCTCAGGGCGGGACACGCCGGACATGGCTTATGAGAGGAGCAGCCACAGGCTTTGGTGTCCAGCACAGCTGGGTTTGAGTCCAGACTTGCCAGTGACAAGCCGAGAGACGAGTACCGGTGTCTCGGCCTCCCCGAACCTCAGAGCCTCAGTCTCTAACCTGAGGCAGTATTCCCACTGTTACTGCTTTTCTAGCGATTCAGCGATCAAAGTGCTGGTCATGGGAAGTGCTCAGTAAATGTAGGCATTTAATTTTTAAGTCAGTTCATATTTTTCAGTGGCTTAAAAGAGGGATCAGTATTGTTTTATTTTACCTAAATGTGTTCAGCAATATGTCTGATGGCCTCGTTCTTTTACAATGCTCTGTGTGTCGGCCAAGTGCAGTGGCTCACGCCTGTAATCCCAGCACTTTGGGAGGCTGAGGCAGGCAGATCCTTGAGGTCAGGAGTTCAAAACCAGCCTGGCTAACACGGCGAAACCCCATCGCTACTAAAAACAAAAATTACCTGGGTGTGGTGGTGTGCACCTGTAATCCCAGCTACTCGGGAGCCAGAGGCAGGAGAATTGCTTGAAAAACCCGGGAAGTAGAGGTTGCAATGAGCCAAGATCATGCCACTGCACTCCAACCTGGGCAACAGAGCAAGACTTCGCCTCAGAAAAAAATACTAATGGTCTGTGTGTAATCCTGTGACGTTTGTGAGCCTGCTGGCACTTTTTGTTATTGTTGTTTCGTTTTTTCTTTTGAAATGCAGTCTCGCTCTGCCAACCAGGCTGGAGTGCAGTGGTGCAATGTCGGCTCTCTGCAACTTCTGCCTCCCAGCTTCAGGCAATAATTCTTCTGCCTCGACCTCCTGAGCAGCTGGGATTACAAGCGCATGCCACCACGCCCAGCTAATTTTTGTATTTTTTTTTTTTAAGGCGGGGTTTCACCATGTTAGTCAGGCTGGTTTTGAACTCCTGACCTCAGGTGATCTGCCCACCTTGGCCTCCAAAGTGCTTGGATTACAGGTGTGAGCCACCACACCCGGCCTAATTTTTGTATTTTTAGTAGAGATGGGGTGTCACCATTTTATTCAGGCTGGTCTTGAACTCCAGACCTCATGATCCGCCCACCTTGGCCTCCCAAAGTGCCAGGATTACAAGCGTGAGCCACTACACCCTAATCCTAACAAAATTAAACCAGTCACTATTTTCCTTCTTCCAGGAGACTGTACCTGAGGAAAGCAGGGACCGTGGCCACAGTTCTGGACACGCTGGCGGAGCCACGCAGGCAGAGCCACGCAGGATCCTTGCACAGGGAGGAGCTGCCTGGGGCACCTGGCACCACACGACCACGTTTTCTAAGAACCATTTTGTTCACTGATACAAAAAAAAAGGAATTCATGATGCTGTACAGAATTTTATTTTTAAACTGTCTTTTAAATAATATATTCTTCTATGGAAAGGGGTACTGGACATTTTCTTTGGTAGAGTTGTGTACGAAGGCTGCTTCCGGTAAGTTCTCTCGTGGAGATGAAGGACACTGTGCTTTTTCCCAGGTGCATCCTAGAGCAATTGACCAGTGTGACATGGTGCGTACGTCCCTGTAAATTCAGCATTAAATGTCAGAACGGTGCCCTGAGCGCAAGGACGTGCGTGGGTCCTGTGTTTCTGAGCAGAGGGGGACGTCAGTGCTGTGTGCGGGGCACCTGGGAACTGAGGCAGGTTGGCCAGGCTGTAGGTCATGTGTGTGGGAGCAAATGCACACGTGACCGCAGGGCAACACTCACTGGGCACGCATGCCCAGGAAGGTTGGCGACTTCACATTTAAATCTTCAAATAAGGAAAAGAGACACATGTATTCCGCGTATTTGAGGGCCTCTGTCTTGGGAGGAGAGATGGCCTTCCCTTCCCACCTTTCTTTTTGTTTTTGACAAAGAGTTTTCCCTCTTGTTGCCCAGGCTGCAGTGCAATGGCAGGATCTGGGCTAACCACAGCCTCCACTCCTGGGTTCAAGCAATTCTCCTGCCTCAGCCTCCTAGGTAGCTGGGGTTACAGGCATGCACCATCACACCCTGCTAATTTTGTATTTCTAGTAGAGATGGGGTCGTGATGGTCAGGCTGGCCTCGACCTTCCAACCTCAGGTGATCCTCCTGCCTTGACCTCCTAAAGTGCTGGGATTACAGGCGTGAGCCACTGCGCCCGGCCCCTTCCTGCCTCTGTTTCGGTAATAAGTACAGGGGACATTCTGGGTGGCACTGTGTCCACACAGGGGACCCAGTTCCCGGCTTGTCCATAGTCCAGTTCTTGCTGCTGCTGGGACAGTTACCCACCTGAGTTCTCAGTGCGACTGCCTGCGTGCGGTGGACTCTGGAGACCCGATCTTATAAGAAGCAAGGAAAAGCTGCTGGATGTGTTCCTGGGCTGTGGGCTCGTCTCCACTGCACTCTAGGACTCTAGGCACAGAACCACCCTTCGAGGGGCTGCGCCCTGCAGAGCTCATCCGTAAAGGCTGTTTATGTGGCCTGAGCTTTGTAAACATTTTATTTCTGGGTTGGGGCACTTTCCCCGGAGCATTTGTTCCCTCTTGTTGGGTTCCAGAATATTACTTCCCACCTTCAAATGATTCATTTTTTACCTGTAAAAATAGCCATCTTGGGCCAGGTGCAGTGGCTCACGCCTGTAATTCCAGCACTTTGGGAGGCCGAGGCAGGCGGATCACAAGGTCAGGAGATCGAGACCATCCTGTGCAACATGGAGAAACCCCATCTCTACTAAAAACTACAAAAATTAGCCAGGGATGTGCGCCTGTACTCCCAGCTACTTGGAGGCTGAGGCAGGGGAATCGCTTGAACCTGGGAGGTGGAGATTGCAGTGAGCCAAGATTGTGCCACTGCACTCCAGCGTGGTGACAGAGCAAGACTCCATCTCCAAAAAAGGAAATCCATCTCATCTTGAATACAGCTCAATGCAGATAGGGATCTTGATTTCTATACCCCTTTTGGCTTCTGCTTTTTTCATTTGAATCCTAAAGCTAGTAGATATGGCAGCATTGGCAAAAACTGAAGCAAAACGTAGGCATCAGATCTGACGCCCTCCACCTCCATGCCAGCCTCTGAAGGGACTATTACCTGCTGTCCTCATCCGTAACAAGGCTCTTTGAACAGCACCTTCACCCGCTACATTACTTGGAATGCCCACCTCACCAAATTCTGCTCCCTCATCAAACTCCATACGACGCTTCCTTGAATTTTACTATCATGAACAAACATGCAGCCACACGCACAGACACGTGGACACGTACACACTGTCACTCCAGCACACTGCCTCTGGTTCTAACCATACTGCGTCCTGGAACAGTTAAATCAACAAATGACTGAGGTCCGTTAGGGGAGGCGTCTACGGTGAGTCCTGGTTCGCAGCAGCCAGCCTGGTCTCCATGCATGGGGCCCCCTAGAAAGCCCACCAACCCCCATCCTGTTGCAGTCGCCCCCAAATCCCTACAGTTGGAGGCCGTGTCCACCCTGGTCAGCCAGCACACCCAGAGCCTGCCCGTACTGGGAGGCGGCCACACATGTGGACTGATTCACAGGCTGCATGTGGCAGTGGAGGCTCAGCGCAAGACAGATGTGCCCATGGCCCTGAGAGCTCTGGGTCCCACAGCAGAGGCAGGTGTGGGGAACGCAGCACCCAGGCCTGGGGACAGGCCCAGCATAGGGAGTGAGTGTGCAGACAGAGGGGCCCACCCCCCGACAAGCACAATCCACTGAACAAGACGCCCCCCTGGGGTGGGCAGCACCATCTCCACCGAGGACGGCATGTTTCCAAGTGCACTGTCTGCCCGACAGTCAGCATGAAGTCAGCACGAAGGGTAAGATGTTTACAGCTGGATGGCGTCAAGAGACAGCAGCAGCAATGCCCGGGGCTTTCCATGGTGAGTTCCCAGCACACAGCAAGCATCTCGCCAAGAAGAACAGAAAGTTGGCAAAGGGAGGGCCGGCCTGCACAGCCTAGCACCGTTCTGAGACGCTGTCACCACCTGTGCTGCTCCGGGGGCACAGGAAGATGCCATTTTTCCTCCCCAAGCCTGTTGATTAGCAATTCGAGGAACGCCGCACGTGTCAGACTGGATCTGAGAAATCCAACAAATCTCCCTCATCAGAGTCACTGACAATCGGGAGCTGCTACGTGCTGTCTTGGGAGTGCGGCCCCTGGCCCTCCCAGCAAAAGGCAATGCAGACCCTTGTGATTTCAGCTCTGACCTTTCGGGTAGTGAAGCAGGAAGGAGGAATGCCTGCTGCTGGCATCCTGGACGGGGTGTCTGCAGCCGAATCCCCCGCCCGCCCCCTCCCGTGTCACCTGCGACATCTCAGACTTTGACGGCCTCCCACAGCTTCCTTTGTTCGTAATGTCCGAAGCCAACCCGAGCGTCTTTGCTGACGTCTGAGCCACATCACATGGAAAACCAGTGAAGCAGGGCTGACCGCTGTGAGGGCTGGGAGAACCCTGGGCATCTGAAACACCTGAGCACAGGAAAAGCCTGTCAGTGGACACCGTCGGCTCCCAGGTGGCCTCTGGAACAGGGGAGCAGTCACCCCTGTTCCATCCCACGGGAGGCCATACCTCATTCCACTTCAGAGGCGGCACCCAGGGCTGGATACCCCCCAGCTGGGAGACGCTGGGCAGCACCTGGACGAGGCTGTGCTCTGCCTGCAGCTCTTCCACTGTGTCCACGAGGAGAAGGTTTAAAAATCTAAGTCCAAAGGTGATCTGTCTAAGGGGCAGGTAACATCATCACTCTGAATTTGGGAGGGATTGTTCTCTGCTGATAGCCAAGAGGGGCCCAGCAAGGTGCTAGGGTACCAGTCTCCCTGAGTCCTCAGGCAGGTCTTCCCAGCCCCATCCTGGGACTCCCCACGCTGCCACAGAGAATACGAGAGTCTGGGGTCCCCAGATTCCTGGGAGCTGGGGCCAGTGCCCTGGCAGAACACGGCACAGGCCCATGTTGCTGCCTCAGGCAGGAGCCAGAGCCTGTGGGGGTGACTTGCCTTGTTATGAGCTGAATTCTCTCCCCAAAATTTACGTCCAAGCCCTAACACCCAGTGCCTCCCAGTACGGTATTGGGTGACAGTGCCTTTAGAGAGATAATTAAGGTCACTGGAGCTCACGGCAGTGGGCCTGACCCACTCTGACCGTGTCTTACAGGAAGAGATCAGGGCACAGACGCACACGGGATGCAGGGGAGGGGGCTCAGAGGAAGCCCCCCGCCCCGCCAGCCTGCTCTCAGACTTCCAGAGATAAGTGTCTGTTGTTTAAGCCCCCCACAAACCGCCCCCCTACCCCCACCGCCTGTGTCCCTCACTAGGGCCACCTGAGCGGACTCACATCACACATCACACAACACGCATCACACGTCACACAACACATCACACATCACACGTCACAACACACCACACGTCACACATCACACGTCACACGCCACACAACACATCACACGTCACATGTCACACATCACACATCACACGTCACAACACACGTCACACATCACACATCACACGTCACACATCCCTCCGGACTGCCTCCCTGGGCAGCGACATGGGCCTGGCTCACAGCAGACACTGGAGACAGTTGAGCTTCGGTTGACCGGGCACAGCGCCATATCTCTCTCTCTCTCTCTCTCTCTCTCTCTCTTTCCTCTCTCTACATGCGTGTGCACGCTGGGACACACTTACCCTGGGGCCCAGCCCAGTCCTGAGGAGGCCCTTAAAAAGCCTCTCTGGCTGAGCGCAGCGGCTCACGCCTGTCATCCCAGCATTTTGGGAGGCCAAGGCGGGCGGATCACAAGGTCAGGAGTTTGAGACCAGCCTGGCCAACATGGTGAAACCCCATCTCTACTAAAAATACCAAAAAAATAGCTGGGCGTGGTGGCGGCTGCCTGTAATCCCAGCTACTCGGGAGGCTGAGGTGGGACACCTGCTTGAACCTGGGAGGTGGAGGTTGCAGTGAGCCGAGATCATGCCACAGCACTCCAGCCTGGGCAACAGAGCAAGACTCCGTCTCAAAAAGAAAACCTCATAACCCACCAGGTCACAGAGCCGCCAAGTCCCCAAGCGGGCGGGCAACGAGGGCCTCCCATGAGAGGCCTCCCAGCTCATCCCTGGACAGCGATCCTGGGAGCCGCGTGGCTGGGAGAGGCTGCGGAGCCGGGCACTGGGGACCGGGAGAGGAAGGGGAGGGCAGTGGGTGTGGCTGCCGCACGCCAGGTCTGAGGCAGGAGGAGACCCCAGATGGTGCCGGCAGAGAGCAGGGGCTGCCACTCGCAGAGTGCGCACGCCGGGCGCAAGCCAGAGGCCGGATGCCAGGCAGCCGGCATGTGGATGGGCGTGCAATGGTTCACACACCACCTTGACCTGGCGCAGACACGGTGTTTCCAGGAGGGTGCTCTGGAGGATGAGACGAGCCTCTGAATCGGTGGACTCGGAGGAAAGCAGGCTGCCCTCCTCATGCGGGCGGGCCTCGTCCGCTCAGGGAAGGCCGGGCTAGACCAGCACTGACCGCCCCAGCAAAAAGGAGCCTCCCGAATTCGGCGTTGGGCCTGAGCTTCATGCCCACCTCTCCTCCAGCCTGCCGGCCTCGCCCAGCAGATGCCAGAGTTGCCAGGCTCCACAATCACGTGGGCCAGTTCCTTAAAATCTCTCTCTACACACTCACACACACACACTACACACCACACACGTTCACACTATGCACACACTACACACAAATATATGCACTACACACACACACAACACACTACACACAAACATGCAACACATTCACACACACAATACACTATACACGAACGCACAACATTCACACACACTACACATACTACACACACCACACACATACTCAGTATACACAAACAGTACACACAAGCACACTACACAGAAACACCCACTACATACACTACACACACCACATACACTACACATGCATTCACACAAAAACACTATACACACTCACCACACGTTCACTGACACGAGCACGTACACTACACACGCGCTTACACTACACACACTACACAAACACACCCACACAGCACACACAAACACACAAACACACCCAAATTGCACACATACAGTACACACATACTACACAAACCACATTCACACACACTACACAGACTGCACACACACCACTTTACACACATACTACACACACTAGACACTCATGCACACAACACACAAATGCACACTACACACACTGCATACATACTACACACTCACACACAAACACATTACACATTCACACAAACACTACACATACTCCAGGACACATACACACGGTGCACACACATGGACATGCATGCACACACACACACACACACACACACACACACATCCTGTCAGGCTGCTTCTCTGGGGAGCCCTGGCGAGGACAGCACAGGTACCCGAGGGCGGGGCGAGAGCCAGGCGGGGAGTGAGGCTCAGACTTAGCGGAGACCAGGCCTCCCTCGTGCACCCCAGGGATGTTTCGGAAGGGCCCACTGCACCCAGAGATGGGGACAAGGAGGTCATGGCCTGAGACGCTGAGGAACAGCAGGAGAGGGTGTGGGAGGGGAAGACCACCAGGAGAGCTCCTCAGTGGTGCTCTCCGGGCGTGTGGGCCAGCGACCAAGGCCACAGAAGGGACTCCACCTGAGGAACTCAAAAGAAAGGGGCAGAGAGTGTCTGCTGGGTCTCTGCTGGGACACACCTTCCTCCGGGAAGCCTCCCCTGACCGCCCTGTTTGTTACTGTATTCCCAATGCCAGCCCAGGGCCTGGTGTGGGGCTAGGGTCCCAAATGACCCAAGAGAGGCCACAGGGGGCCAGGGGGCCAATCAGAGGCACTGTCCGGGCTGATGCCTTTCCCTTTCCCCTCCAGCTACCAAGGGAGGAAGGCAGGCTCCTCCAGCCACTCACGCGTGAACTGGAGAGGGAGGAAGGATGGGCTGCTGGCCTCCTCTAGCCTGAGCCCAAGCTCCAGTGGCTCTGGGGGACACTCAAGGTCACAGCCTGGGGTGGACGGAATCCTTTACTGCATTGGAAAAGCAGATGAGGAACCATTGCCTCTTTAGAAAATAGCAACTGGGCCGGGTGTGGAGGCTCACAACTGTAATCCCAACGCTGCAGGAGGCCGAGGTGGGAGGGTCACTTGAGCACAGGAGTTTGAGAGTTTGAGACCAACACAGGAACAAAATGAGACCACATCTCTAAGGAAAAAAAAAAAAAAGGCTGGGCGCGGTGGCTCAAGCCTGTAATCCCAGCACTTTGGGAGGCCGAGGCGGGTGGATCACGAGGTCAAGAGATCGAGACCATCCTGGTCAACCTGGTGAAACCCCGTCTCTACTAAAGATACAAAAAATTAGCTAGGCATGGTGGCGCGTGCCTGTAATCCCAGCTACTCAGGAGGCTGAGGCAGGAGAATTGCTTGAACCCAGGAGGTGGAGGTTGCAGGCGAGATCGCGCCATTGCACTCCAGCCTGGGTAACAAGAGCGAAACTCCGTCTCAAAAAAAAAAAAAAAAAGATAAGAACTAGAGAGTCCGAAATGTCCTCATTCTTTCTTTTCCACCTCCTTCCTTTCCCTTCAGTCTTATTCTGTCACCTGGGCTGGACTGGAGTTCAGTGGCCTGATCTCGACTCACTGCAACCTTTGCCTCCCTGTCATTGTGTGGCAGGCTAACTAGTCTCATTCACACAGTGACAAGTGGTTCCCAGCAGCCAGAGAACGGAAGTCACAAGTCTCAAATACTTTTCAAGTCTCAATAAGCACGTTTCCTACTGTCTCACTGGCCAGAGCAAATCACATAATCAAACCCAGGTTTAAAAATTTGCTTCATGGTTGGGCACAGTGGCTCAAGCCTATAATCCCAGCACTTTGGGAAGCCAACATGGGCGGATCGCGAGGTCAGGAGTTTGAGACCAGCCTGACCAACATGGTGAAACACTGTCTGTACTAAAATACAAAAATTAGCCAGGCATGGTGGCACGTGCCTGTGATCCCAGCTATTCAGGAGACTGAGGCAGGAGAATTGCTTAAATCTGGGAGGTTCAAGGACCCCAGGTTCCCCTGGGGCGGTTTGCCTTTTCCTAGTTGGCCACAGTTTTTATTCTGGATTCCGATCCCTCCCCTCACAGTTAACTCTGTGCTATTACACCTTCTCCGGGTGGGTGGCCCAGGAGGCTGCAACAGGCTGAAGTCTCCTTGTCCTGCAAATTCCTAAGTTGAAATCCCAACCCCCCAAGGCATTAGGATCACTTGAACCCGGGAGGTAGAGGTTGCAGTGAGCTGAGATCATGCCACTGCACTCCAGCCTGGGTGACAGAGCAAAGCCAAAAAAAAAAAAAAGGCGCTACAGAGAATTTGTCTTTTTTTTTTTTCAATCTACCAGAGTGAGGAAGACAGCTAAAACAAGATTGGGAATCATTCTTCAAGCATTTGTCTTTGTCTTTATACGCCTATTTCAGCCTCCTCTATCACCAAGCCCCCACTGCTTTTG